TGAAAGCAATTAATATGTCCTTCAGTAAGTGAATGGATAAACTGTGGTACATCCAGACAATCAATGTTATTCAGAACTAAAAACAAATGAGCTATCAAGCCATGAAAAGACATGGAGGAAATTTAAATGCATTTTACTGAGTGAAAAAAGCCAATCTGAACAGGCTCTGTACGATATGATTCCAAACATACGAAATTCTGGAAAAGGCAACACTATGGAGATGCTTAGAAGATGAGTGGTTGCCAGCAGTGCGGGGGGTGGAGGGAGGGCTGGGCAGAGCACAGAACACTGTTAGGGCAGTGAAACGATTCTGTCTGATTATACAATGGTGGGTACATGTCATTCTACATTTGCTAAAACCCCTGAAATGCACACACCAAGAATGAACCCCAGTGAAAACTGTGGACTCTGGGTGATGGTGATGCGCCAATGTAGGTTCATTGTAACACAGGCCCTGCTCCTGTGTGGGACGCCAGCAAGTTTGCTGTGAACCTAAAACTGCAATAAAAAAGGTATAATCATTAATTAGTTCATATGCTGCCTATTCTAGGATAAAAATAACTTTTTGGAAACTTAAACACTTTGTTTTACATTTACTTTAATCTACTTTTTAAGTGAAATGTATTAAATTTCATGTTTTAAACACAACTACATTAAAAAATCCAGCTAACTACACTTTACTTTTGAATTCTTAAGATCATTACTCTCAAGAGAATAAAAATAGTGTGAAAATCTTGATTATTATAGTATAACTAGTGACTTTATTGAACCAAAGACATGAAAATAAATCTTATGGAATAAGTAAAAAAAATAAAAAAACCATCAACGTCTATGTAATAAGTAAATGTTATCACCTTAACAGTTCATTGATTTTCAGTCATAAAAACAATAGGTTTACAAAACACACACTCACATACGTAGATGTATTTATTTAGTCATTATAAGCCATATTTCTCAAGGTAGAGCATAGTTCGTTGGCTTGGTTATAGCTTTAAAGTCTTTAGTCTTCAAGTGTGTGAACTTCCACGCACCTATGCCCTGAAGCAGCACAGGTTAGAGGCGTCTCTAGAGATGCCGGGAAGCCAGGGCTGTTGGCAATCATTTTACTGTAAGGGGAAAGCCTGCCTGAGAATGGAGCCAATTCCAAGAGAAGCAGCAACGAGAAGTGGAGAATGAGACTGAGGACTGGGGATATTATTGGAGTCACTGGGTCCTGAAGATTTATACATGAACTTTCAGTTTCTTAACCTAATAAATTCCCTCTTTTTCACTCAAGCCAAATGGAGTTTTCTGTCATCTGTACTGTGCATCATAACTTACATGGAATCCTGATTTTTGGTTTAGAAAATGTGATACTTTCACATGTTAGCAGCGGGAATAAGATAGCAGTGGGCAAGAAGAATAAGAAGGAGCCGAACCTTGGAAGTTTTGGAAGAAATCTGGCACAAGTGAACTGTGGCAGTAAAATAAATATGAATGCCACTTGAGGTCTCTATCTGTCAACGATCACTTCTTAGCGTTATGCCTAAGATCATATACTCTAGTAGTCCATAGAGAAACTTAAAGACTATTTACAAAATTTGCATATGTGTATGCACTTTTCTAGAGACAGTGTTCATAGCTATTTTTAGGTCCTCAGAAGGAATTCTGAACTTCTATATGTTTAAGAAACTCTGCTGTACTAAATAGGGAAAGAATTTTGAAAAGGTGGTAGGATGTAAAAAAGAATAAAAACTAGCAAATGATAAACAAACAAACAAAAATACCTTGTACTTTAGAAAGACTATGAAAGCATTAATTATGGCGGTGTTCTCCCCTTACACACCACAACCACCTGCAGGACCATTACCTGGGGCTCTTGTTTCAAATAGTCATTCCTGGTCCCATACAGACCCAGTGAATCAGAATGTCTGTGGGGAGGGCCTAGGACTCTACATTTTAAGCCTGGTAGGTAATTATTATCAAGGCTAAGGTTTGAAAACCATAGAGTTACTGCTTGTATTAAGGGGGGGAAGACTGGAGTTCAGAAAAGTAGAAGATTGCAATAAACCACATGAAACAATCTGAGTGTTCTCATCATCTGAATGTGTTACTTACTGGTAACTAGGCTACTTATAGGTTTCAAAGCAACTTTATTGCAAGTATTCAAGTCTTTGTTTTTTCACCGCATACTACTGAAAGACTACAGGAAATACTGCTTGAGTCTTTGGATGTTAAACTTTGTGAGCTGCACATTCCAGACAGACCTATACATGCCCTTGGAGTTTTTTACTTTAAGAAACAGTTTGCGGCAGGTTGGAGTATTTTGTTCTGTTCACATCTACGGAAACAAGAAAACTTTGAGTAAAGGTGTGTAAAGTTACAGTTCTTTAAATATTGCTCTGATGATGTGTATATATGAGTTTCAAAAGGAGCAAGAGAGTAAACAGTGAGAAGCAAGTCTGCCTCATCCCATTATCTCTCAGGTACACAATTTTCTCTTCTCAGAGGCAAACACTGTACCAGCTTTTCTTGCACCCACAGCATACAGGTGTCCCATGCATACACAGGTACATAGCAATTCCTCATTTGGGTAGTATGTAGAAAAGAGAGTAACAGGCCTGAGAGTGCCACCCTCAGAAAGGCCTGTTTGCAAGGTTGGCCCTTGGCTGGCCTCAGGGAACTTGGATTTTGGTTGGTTTCTACCATCTCCTTAGTCTCTAATGAGTTTCCATGGTGGACAACATTTCACGGGTCAAAATTTCATGCTGCGGTAATTAAGCCTGTCCTATGTGACTCCATGGGGAGTGAACTCTTAGAAGCTTCTGCTTGGTTTCCTCCAGCCTTTGCCCCATGTGTCTTTTCCTGTTGCCAATTTTGCTTTGTATCCTTCTGCTGTAATAAATCTTACCTGTGAGTACAGTTTTTGCTGAGTCTTGTGAGTCCTTCTAGTGAATTACTGAACTTGGGAGAAGTCTTGGGAATCTCCAGCACAGGGAGATATGCGTTTTCTTCCGTATTACAGAGTAGTCTGACACTATAGGAATCAGAAGTCTCTTTCCTTGTTGGTTACAAGACAATTAGATTTAGTGACACCATTCATTTAAGAATGTACTATTTTATTGAGTTTATCAATCAGTCTCATTGCTACACCACCATTATTGTATATCTCAGTAATAAAAAGATGTTTTCCCTGACTTTCATTTGACTATCTGTTTGTTCTGGAGAGAGGTGACTACAGGCAAGTGGCTCTACATGTTATTTACAAATTCTCTAGTATGGTTTAATCTGACCTTGATGTTCTGTGATGCTTAGCAGTTACGGGATTTACCATCTTTTTTGGGTGGGTAGGGGTTGGGTGGTTATTTATATCTTTCTCCTGTTTTAAATCTATTTCCTGGGTCTCTTTTATTCCTCTTTCATTTTTTGTTTTGGTGAAACACATTGTCTAGTAGTTTCTTAAGAAAGCATGTATAATAGGTAATACTTTGAAAACTTGCATGCCTTTCCACTTGACTGATATTTTGGCAGGATTTTATGTGGAATTATATTCTTTCAGAATTTCAAATACATTGCTTCATTGTCTTTGAGCTTCAGGTGTTGATGTTGAGAAAGCTGATGACATTCTGATTCTCCTACATGACTTTTTTTCTCTTTGGAAACTTTTAGAGTCTATATTTTGCTCTCTCATTCTGAAAACTTATGTCTTTCAGTCCTGAAAGTTTTCTTGAATTATTTAATTGATTTCTTCCTTTCTGGACTGCTCTTTCAATTTTCTTTTCTTTCTCATTGAAGAGTATTTTTGCTCTATTTTCCTCAAATTGTCTTTAATTCCCTCTCATTTTTTGCTATCTTCTTTCTAATTTCCAAGAACGCAATTGATCCATCCACTCCCATTTTTTGTTGTTACATCCTATACAGGCTATATTTTCTCTTAAAGTTTTGGGAGTATTTCTGAGAGTTTTTAAAAAGTGTTTAAAACACTGCAGTGCCTGTTTCTCTCATATTCATTTTTTAATGGTTGTTGTTTAGGTCTCTTCCTTTTATATTATTGGGTTTTCTTGTTTGCTGTCCATGACTTAAAAAGATAAGAAGTAAAAAGGGAGAAAGCTCTGAGTGGGTCAGGCTCTTGACTTTGAATTTCAGTACAGAGTAATCTGGTGCATGGTTTGTGGAGAGCCCTGATGTCGGTATCTGTGGTCAGGCACAAGGTCACTTAGTTCCCCTTTTAGATGCAGTATCCAAGCACTTCTAGAGATTTTACTCCCTTCAGAGAATTAAACCTAAAACTTCAGCCTAGGTGGGAAAGGCGCAGCTGCATAGAGATACAACACTGGAGGGAAAACATACAGCGATCTAACTGCTTTTCAAGCAGCTTTCACTAATTCCCCCTTATTTTCAGAAACCCACTCCACCCCCCTTGAATCCCATTTTCTCAGTTACCTTTTGCAGCTCCAGAACCTTTCCAGGTGTCTAGTTTAAACTGAGTTCTCAGCTTTCCCCACTGTCGGAGCTGGGGCGCGTACCTGTCATACTTGTGCTTTCCAGCTTCCAAAATATTGTAGCTGTCATCTCCTCCTCCCTGTGGGCTTAGGTCCCCGCTCCTCCGAGGAAGTGGGATTGTGGATGACCATATTCAAACAGCCATCTTAACTCAAAATGTATATCTCTACCTTAAAAAAATCTTTTGGCCATTCCAATTCCATCATTCTTCCTTCCTTTTAAAGGACACCTACTTCTCCACTTGGGAGCAACTCTGCAACTGCAGACTCCACAAGGAGTACACAAGCAACTAAGAGCTGCAGGATGGTTGGTGGGGATACGAAAGGTACAGGTGATACTTACTCGATGAGCCCATCTGGTGGGCAGAGGCCCTGGCTCAAGGCAGTCGCCTTTTAGAGATCCCCTTCTTCTCTATCCAACCCTGAGGCAGCCAGCCTTGGCGAATGCCCAGCCCTTCCCCTTCCTAGGTCAGGAGCACCGCCCTTGCCCGCCCCCTTCCTTAGAGCTGCAGGCTCCGCCCCTCCGAGCCTGGCCAGAGAAACCCACTTGCGCCACTCGGTGACCCACCGGCATGTCCAGACCGTCGCTCAGACTCCGACGCGTGCCAAGGCAGGGTTGGAGCAGCACGCCTGGGATTGCTCCGCTGCTACCGCTGCTGCTGCTGCTGCTGCCACTCCAGGCTGAGGCCAACTGCCCGTGCCAGGATCCAGCGCTGTGCCAACCCATCCGCAACCACCCCAACTTCGAGGTAAGCGCCTTTCGCGTCGACCCCCACCGTGCCCCTCCCCGCCCCGGTCTGGTCCTGCAAGCTTGAAGAGAAGTTAGAGTAGAACCTCTAGAAAGAAGTGGTTGCGGCTGCTGAAACCCTTTTGACCACTCGCCCAGGGCTTTTCTATTTATGAATTTCCTTTATCTGGTAGATGAAGAAATTCTGGCTCAAGAGAGGTTGAGTAACTCCTCCCACGTCTGACAGCAAGTGATTGGAAGAGGCAGGCAAGTGTTCCAACCCAGATCTGACTCCAAACACAAGCTTCTGTCTTTACACAGCAGTGTCTCAGCCGTGCACTCTAGCCTTACAAGCACAGGGCTAGGATAATGAGCTGTTCCCTGAGCTGGAAGACCCACTGGTTTTCAAGCGGACGAGGATTCCGTTTGAAGGAATCTTTGGGCTCCAAGAATGCACTGGAGGGCAGAACGTTTTGCTTATCTTTGCTTTTCTATACTCACCACGCCTTTCCTTCAGGCACCTCAAAAATCATCCTCGAAGGTGGATAAAAATAGGTCTGTCAATAAATTTTCCTTCTACATCTAGCAATTTGTAAGGCCTTTGCAACTTTAATCAAACTGTTTTGTGGGCAACATGAAAACTGTCTGACTGCTAGATTTTGATGACTGCAGCGGGAATGGACCTCAGAGAGGTGTAAAGGCTTAGTCCAAAGAGTATTATTGTGTAATGTAGGGACAATGGCCAGTTCTTAATCTAGCAGATAAGTTTGATGCTGTGGCATTTCAATGCCAATAAAAATAACACGTAACATTGTTTAGAGAAAAAATAAAAGTGGTGAAAGTGTTTATGATGGAGAACACTCTTAGCAGGTTGGACAGGGTTTATGGGCATTTGGAAAGTGAATTATGCAAACAAGCAAAATTGTGTTCATTGTATGTTCATGGTAAATGGTCTTTTTCTCTACTGACCTTTTCTATATTTTTCAAACCCCATGGCTAGATTCCATAGCTTTTTTTCCCTTGTATTTTCAATTAGTTCACCCAGCTATTTTCCAGGATTTCTATTATATGATAGAGTCTCAGTAATTTTTTTTAACAAATTCAATTTTAATTATCAGAATTAAAATAGTGGTTAAGGTTTATGATGGAGATATGTGTCTAAAAACAATGAGCTGTTCAATTTCACATTTTCTAATTTTTATCATTTCAACGGAAAACTCCTTAGCAGAAAAATGAGTTATGCACAGTGAATTCTGAAAAGTGAAACAAAACATAAATCTAGAAATTAGAAATTTGAGAAATGTCCAGTTTAACTTTAATAGCTAGCTCTCCCCACCAACCTTCCCCATCTGATCCACTCACAGTGGACCAGTAATCAATCAATCATGCTCCCCTGTCCCCCTACTTCTCTCTTTTATTTCTTAATGCAAATCTTAAGCTACACCCCTGCTTAAAATACTCTAATGACTTCTCATTGCTCTCAGGATAAAACATCAAATCCTCCCTGGCCTACAAAACTTTACTTGGTCTTGCCATGACCTACCTTACTAGTTTTACCTGATCCCATGTACTTACAGGATTGTGTTCTAGCCACACTGACTTTCTTTTGGTTCCATAAAATCGGAAGTCTCTTGAGGGATTGAAACCTTTGCACTTTTTGTTCTCTTTACTGAAAATGCCTTTTTTTTTTTTTTTTGGTTCATAGGTATGTCCCTTCCATTCTGTCCAGATCATTCCACAGATTTCAGTCCTTCCCTGAAAGTGTGTAGTCCTCAGGGAAGTTTTCCTGCTCCACCAGGGAAGCAGCTCCCCTTCCCTAGGGAGTGCACAGTTCCTGCACTCCCAGGCAGCCCTGAACGTTATTGTACTTGGACAATGGACCTGTTCTCCCTTTTTAACCTCTTTGTCACTGATGCCTAGCAACATCCTCTCCCTATTCCTTACTGGAGTTCAATAACTATTTGCTGAATTAATTAACACCTTATTTGGGATAAAATAATAATGATCAGTGAGCCTTCTGTGCTTCTAGAATTATCTGTGTGGTAAAAGTACTGGAAAAACATAACATCTCCTGCTTTAGAATTTAACTTGAGCACTATTCTAAGAAGTCAGGCTGACTAAAATCATTCATAGCAATGCAGTATCTGTGGCTCTGCCTACAGCAGCCAGAAACCTGAGGATTATCAACTCCCTCTTTTTCTTTTGCCTTACTCATTCAAATAGTCACAAATCCTGTTAACTTTGCCTCCTTAGGATCTTTCAGATCTGTATGTTAATCTCACGTATGTCTGCTGCTCCACCGTGTCAGTTGAGGTCACCATCATTTCTTGTTAGGATTCTTCCAACAGCTTCCCTATTAGATATTCTACCTCCAGTTTTAGCCTCTCTTGAATCCATTTCCACTTCAGCTGAAGGGATTGTTCTAAAATGCATACATAAATGCAGACCTAAAATGGCAATGTGTAGATTCTCCTCTAAAACCCCTTTCTTCAGGATAAAATATTACTAGTTTTTCAAGAGGGCTTTCAAGGCCTTTATGATTTAATCCCACTTGCTACTCTCTGGCTCTTCCCTGCTGTTGCAGTCCAGTTTTAGGGGAGAGCCATTCTCAGGATTTAGTTACACCACTACCATGCTCTCTGCCTCCAGGCCCTGGCACTTGCCACCCTCTCTTCTTAGCTATCCTTTCCTACCTTCCAGGCTGGGTAATTTCCCCTGCCACCAATACACTGGTACTCCTACCCCAATGTCTTCTTCACTGTTATACTCTCAGTACCCCAGTACTTGACGTATGTTTGGTATTTAATGTTATTTTGGGGGGTCAGCATGATATTCTTCTTGGTTTAAGTGATGGTGTTTATCCCTGGTGTCCTGACAGGTCTTTGTGTTTGACGTTGGTGGCAAAACTTGGAAATCTTATGACTGGTCACAGATTACAACTGTGGCACTTTTTGGAAAATATGACTCAGAACTTATGTGCTATGCTCATGCAAAAGGAGCCAGAGTAGTGCTAAAAGGTGAGTACAGTTTTCACCAGATGTGTCCCCACAACTGGTAAGTTTACTTGCATCATTTGCTATTGTTGTTTTCCAAATACTTCCCTTTCATTGTTCATCTGGCATATTTTTTAACATTCTAAACTCAATCTTGATATTTTTAATTCATTTTACAAATGCAAATATTATTAAAGAATTAAACAACCACAGCATTATCTTGAGCCAAATGTGACTCCTCATTGGCATGATGACTTTTAGCTAGTCATAGTCCCCAATTTCTGCTTCTACTTTGAGAATGATTTTACTAATTACTCGAAACAGTTATTTTGGAGGTGAATAAGTAATGACTTTTTATTACTTTAGTATATTATTTTTTCATTTGGAAGACAAAGTGGGAGCTTAGTATTCCAAAATAATGAGATGTTTAAAGGACATTTTGATCTCTTTAGAATGGGTTTGTGAAGTAAATGTCATTAAACTGTGAAAAGCATATATGCACAAAAGATGTATATTTCTTTCACAGGAGATGTATCCTTAAAGGATATCATTGATCCTAATTTCAGAACATCCTGGATAGCTCAACAAGTTAACTTGGCCAAAACACAATATATGGATGGAATTAATATAGACATAGAGCAAGAAGTTAATTATTCAACACCTGAATATGATGCACTGACTGCTTTAGTCCAAGAAACTGCAGACGCTTTCCATCATGAAATTGAGGGATCACAGGTAAAAAATTCCTTTGATATATTTAGGAACCACCTAAACTTATTTATCAAAATGTATTCTTAAATGTATAACTAATAGAATCTAGGATAAAAGTTCAGCACTTATATCTTAGAAAATATTTCTGGAACTCTGACAGTTTTATTAAATAAATTTTATAGACTGTTTAAAAAAGATTTTGTTTATTCATTTTTAGAGAATAGGGAAGGGAGGAAGAGAGGGAGAGAAACATCAGTGTGTAGTTGCCTCTTGCATGCCCCCTACTGGGGACCTGGCCCACTAACCCAGGCATGTGCACTACTAGACTGGCAATCAAACCACAACCCTTTGGTTCACAGGTCTGTGCTCAATTCACTTAGCTACACCAGCCATAGCAAAATTTTATAGACTTTAAATGTGCTAAATCTAATCTCTGTGGACATCAAGACACAACATGGATTCCCCCACCTTCTAGCCTCACAACAGGACTAGAAATATTAGAGAGACAAAGGGATCAGCAAGAATCAGGAAGGGCTATGTTGTTCCAGCCCTGCTTTCACCAGTGAAGGACAGACAGCTCTTGCCTCAGAGTAGAGGCACTTCTGGGTGTCTCAGCTGCTCCACGGACTTTGAATTACTTGTAAAGCACCTAAGACCCACTAAGGCTCTAAGAACTAACTCCACAGGACTAGTCAGAGCTATGACAAAAGGCAGTATGCTTTCCCACTGCCATAATGAGCATGATGATTAGAGCAGTAGATCAGAGCACAAGACATCTTGTCAGGCAATGTATGGGTAACAAAGGATAATGTGGCCCCAAGATTAGTGATTCTCAAACCTGGCCATATATCAAGATAACAAGACAGTCGTAGAAAAAGTATACACACACACTCACACTGGGACCCACTCCCAGGGATTATTATTCGCATGGTTTAAGTGAGCCTAGAATCCATATTTGTTTTTAGAAAGTTTTATAGGTGATTATGGTTGATATTCTGGACCAAATGGAGACTCAAGAAACTCCTTCATTTCCCTCCTCACATGGACACACAGAATGTACAGCTACAAATGGAACAATTTCCTTAGAGAGAAATCCAGAACCTAGCTACATATATAGCGACTGAGAAAATAACCACATTGAAATTGGTAGGAAAGGCTGAGACACACTCTGCCATAAACCCCACCCCTAGCACCATATAATAGGGAGGGAACCCTCTACTCCAGCTTCTGAGGAGTGAGGGGTTTGGAATGTACCTTTAGTGCCCCAACTTTTAAGGCTCCTATGTGAGGGATGAGTCGCCCAAACACCTAGCTCTGAAAGCCAACAGGGCTTGCATTCCTCAGTCCCACAGGATTGTAGCAAACAAAGAGGAATTTCCCAAAGCACCCCAGCACTTGTAATGGGTATTTGCCCAAGAGCTCAGCTCAGAAAGAGCAGGAAAAAAAAATCCCTAAATTTTCCCAGGAAGGGTTTGACTGCATACATTACAAGTTGCTGCCTAAGAATATGGCTTCTAATTAGCACACATTTAGGTAGTGACTGCAATCCTCCCCAGACCCCAAAGAAAATAACAAGATGAAACATTATAAAAAGATCTTAATGTAACAGATAAAGTGATTTACTCCATAATGAATTCAAAATAATAGTCATAACGTGGCTCACTGAGAACAGGAGAGCAATGTCTGAACAAAATGAGAATTTCAACAAATAGAAAATATTAAAAAGTACTAAACAGAAATCATAGAAATGAAGAATAACAATAACAGAACTGAAAAATTCAAGAGGGGTTCAACAAAAGACTGAACCAAACAGAAGGATCAGTAAACTTAAAGGCAGAGAAAGTCATCTAATCAGAAAATAAAAAGAAAAAAAAGAATGAAAAAGACTGAAGATAGCTTAAGGAATTTATGAAACACATCAAATAGAGCTATATGTTACAAATATTTATACATCCAATACTAGAGCATCCAGATATACGAAGCAAATGCTAACATATCTGAAGGAAGCAATAGACAGCAATGCTACAATAATAGAGGAGGACTTCTATACTCCCCTGTCAGTGGTGGAAAGATTATCCAGAAAGATAATCAATAGGGAGGCTTCAATAAGGAAATACATATTAGAACAAAGTGATCTAACAGACATACAGCAGAACAATCCATCCAACAACAGCAGAATACATATCTTTTCAAGTGCCCAGAAAACATTTTCCAGGAAAAAGCATATATTAAGCCACAAAATACATCTTAATGATGTTTATGTTACTGGGGAGACCTGAGTCAGGGGCTGCCTCTCCTCAGTTCTTGTCTTGCTTGCAATAGAAGAATTCAGGCAAGAGACAACACATGTAGTGGAAATAAGATAGCAAGTTTATTTATGAAACACGTACAAGCACAAACTGCAAGCAGGCACCAGGCTAGTCTGAATGCCCCATGTATAGAGGAAATAAAGTGAGTAAGTTTGTTGTATACACTTGAGCACCTGGCTACAAGTGAGCACTCAGCTAATCTGAGTGCCCTGACTCTCGGGAATCCAGGAGTTATATACTTTAGTCAGCTTCTAGGTTCCCCCTCCTCCTCCTCTTCTAGACCTTGGGATCAATACACAGTTTTAAAGATTTTCTTTCTCAGCTAGTGGAGATGCATTACAAGGACTCCCCTCCTCCTGAGTTATCATAGTTTTGGCTATCATAGTTTTGCTTGTGATGTTCAGAACACCTGGCAATCTTATCAGACTAGGCTCAAGGCTGCTGAGTTAATTGTTGAAACATATCTCCCTTTTGTTTCTAGCTCCTGTTTTAAGTTCTTTGTTAGATTGTAATGGTGGGGGCACTGCCTTTATTTCCCCTCTGTCTGCTCATTCCTAGCTGCTACCTAACATTTAGAAGACTGAAATTATATCAAGCACCTTTTCTGACTACAATGGTATGAAACTAGAAATTAATTACAAGAAGAAAACTGGAAAACTCACAAGCACGTACAAAGTAAATACTATGCTACTGAACAACCAAAAGGTCAAAGAAGAAATCAAAATTGAAATAAAAATATCTTGAGTCAAATGAAAACAGAAACACAATGTGCTAGAACTTACGGGATGTGGCAAAAACAGCTCAAGAGGGAAGTTTATGCTGATAATTGCCTACATTAACAAGAAAGCTCTTGTCCTGGCTGGTGTGGCTTAGTGGATTGAATGCCATCCTGAAAACTAAAAGGTCGCTGGTCCAATTCCCAATCAGGGCACAGCCAAGGCTGCCAGTTGGGGGAATGTGAGAGGCAACCAATCTATGTTCCTCTTGCACAATGATGTTTCTCTCCCATCCTTCCCCTCTCTCTAAAAATAAATAAATAAAACCTAAAAAAAAAGAAGAAGAAAGCTCTCGAATACCCAAACTCACTTTACGCTTCGAGGAAACTAGAAAAAGAACTACTGAAGCCCAAAGTTAGTAGAGGAAGGAAATAACAATGATCATAGTGAAAACAGATGACTCTGGCTAAGATGGAGGTGTAGATACACTCTGCCTCCTCACATAACCAAAAGGACGACAACAAATTTAGAAACAAAAAAATAGCCAGAACTTCCAGAAAAATCTAACCGTATAGAAGTCTGACAACCAAGGAGTTAAAGAAGAAACATTCATTCAGACTCGTAGGAGGGGCAGAGATGGGCAGCCTTGGTGGAGAGGACACATGGCAAGGCGGTGGCTGGCATACAGGGCAGTCCCATATTTGCGTGTGGGTAAACCAAGAGGAACAACTGGGGAGTGAGACAGACTGTGCAGGGTTCCAGAGTGGGGAAATAAAGCCTCAGAAACTCTGGCTGTAAAAACCTGTGGGTCTTGCAGTGGTGAGAGAAACCCCCAGCCTCACAGGAAGTTCATTGGAGAGACCCACAGGGTTCTAGAATGTACACAAAACCAACCACCCGGGAATCAACACCAGAAGGGCCCATTTGCTTGTGGGTAGCAGAAGTGACTGAAAGCTGGTTGAGAGCCTAGCAAGCAGCATTGTTCCCTCTTGGACCCCTCCCCTACATACAGTGCCACACCAAAGCACGGGCTGCCCTGCCTTGGTGAATAGCTAAGGCTCTACCCCTTACAGTGTAACAGGCACATGGAGACAAAGAAATATGGCCCAAATGAAAGAACAGATCAAAGCTCCAAAATACAACTAAGCAATGAAGAGATAGCCAATCTATCAGATGCAGAGTTCAAAACATTAGTAATCAGGATGCTCAGACACATGGTTGAGTATGGTCACAAAATGGAAGAAAAAGTGAAGGCTATACAAAGTGAAATGAAGATAAATGTACAGGGAATCAACAACGATGGGAAGGAAACCAGGTCTTAAATCAATGGTTTGGACCAGAAGGAAGAAAAAATATTCAGCCAGAACAGAATGAAGAAATAAATTCAAAAAAATGAGGAGAGGCTTAGGAACATCCAGGACAACTTTAAACGTTCCAACATGCAAATCATAGGGGTTCCAGAAGGAGAAGAGGAAGAGCAAGAAATTGAAAACTTATTTGAGAACTTCCCCAATCTGGCAAAGGAAATAGACTTCCAGGAAGTCCAGGCAGCTCAGAGAGTCCCAAAAATGATGGACCCAAGGAAGCACACACCACGGAACATCATAGTTACATTACCCAAGATTAAAGATAAGGAGAGAATCTTAAAAGCAGCAAGAGGAAACAAGACAGTTACTTACAAAGGAGTTCCCACAAGACTCTAAGCTGATTTCTCAATAAAAACCTTACAGGCAAGAAGGGGCTGTAAAGAAGTATTCAAAGTCATGAAAGGCTGGGACCTACATCCAAGATTACTCTACCCAGCAAAGCTATCATTTAGAATGGAAGAACAGATAAAGTGCTTCCCAGATAAGGTCAAGTTAAAGGAGTTCATCATCACCCAGCCCTTACTATATGAAATGTTAAAGGGATCTATCTAAGAAAAAGAAGATCAAAACTATGAACAGCAAAATGACAACAAACTCACAGCTTTCAACAACAGAACCTAAAAAACAAAAACTAAGCAAACAATTAGAACAGGAACGGAATCACAGAAATGCAGATCATGTGGAAGGTTATTGTGGGGAGGAGTGAAAGAAGAATGGGGGGAAAAGTACAGGGAATAAGAAACATAAATGGTAGGTACAAAATAGACAAGGATGAGTGAAGAATAGTATAGGAAATGGAGAAGCCAAAGAACTGATATGTATGACCCATGGACATGAACTAAGGGGTGGGGGTGCTGGTGGGAGGAGGGGTACAGGGTGGAGGGGAATAAAGGGGAGGGAAAAAATGGGATGGCTATAATAGCATAATCAATAAAATATATTTTAAAAAGAGTGGAAACAAATGAAATGGACTATAAAGACAATAGAAAAGATAAATGAAACAAAGCTGGGTTTTTTTTGAAAGAATGTTAACAAACTTTTAGCTATGAAAAAAGACTTCAAATAATGAAACTCGCTAATGAAATAAGAGACATTACAACCAATAAAACAGACATCCTAAGGGTCATAGGAAACTATTATGAACAATTATACACCAATAAATTATATAACTTAGAAGAAATGGATAAATTTTGATGAACATACAACCATGTTACTGTTGGTAGGAATGTAAACCAATAAAACCACTAAGAAAAACAGTTCCTCAAGAAACTTAGAACTAGTATATAATTCAGGAATCCCATGTCATATATCCAAAGAAAACCAAATCACTATCTCAAAGAGATATCTGTGCTCCCATCTTCACTGCAGCATTATTCATAAGAGCAAGGATATAAAGTAGCTGAAATGTCTGTTAACAGATGAATGGATAAGAAAATGTGATCACACACACACACACACACACACACACACACACACACGCACATTGGAATATTATCCGAGTTTTAAAAAGAAGGAGAAAAGGAAGGAAATCCTGCCATTAGTGACTACTTGACTAACCTGGACAGAATTATGCTTAAGGAAATATACCAGGCAGATAAAGGCAGATACTGCATGGTATCACTTATTCTTGACCTTGTGTGGAATCTAAAACACAATTTGAATGAATAGAAACAGAGAGTAGGTGGTTGTCAGGGGCTGGGGGAAATGAGAGGCTAGTAAAAGGGTATAAGCATTCAATTGAAAGATTAATAAATTCTGAGGTTTACTATATAATATGGTGACTATAGTCGATAATTATTGTATAAATGAAATTTGCTTATAAGGTAGAACTTATATGCTATCACCAATAAAAAAAGTAAATATGTAACATGATGGATGCATTAATTAACTTGATGATGGGAATCCTCTCATAATATTTATGCATATCCAATCATCCCATTGTATACTTTATATTTCAATTTTGTCAGTCATACTTCATTAAAGCTAAAAACATAGATTTTTAAGCCTAGACCATGACTTTTATGAAGACAGGGACCAGCTCCTTTAAACATGTCTAACACAATGTTTAAGAATTGTTTACTGAATGAATGAAGGATACCTGCCTTTCAAAAATTTAAAATCTAGTGAAGGGTGCTCCCTTCGGCAGCACATATACTAGAATTAGAACAACACAGAGATAAGCATGGTTGCTGTGCAAGAATGACATGTAAATCTGTGAAGTGTCCCGTATTTTTTTAAAACAGAAAATCTAGTTAACTAAAAAATATATATATACATAAAATATATTTTATATTATGTATTATATAAGTAATATGAACCAGTGATTCTAAACCTATCTCAGAATCACTTGGCAGTACTTATTAAAAATATACCCAGTGATTGATTCAGTAGGTCTGGGATAGAGGCTAGGAACTGTATTTTAGTCAAGTTGTGCTAGGTTATTCCAGCATATTTGGTCAACATGAATTTGAGAATTGTTGAAAAATTAATAAATGGTATAAGCATTTATCTGTGGCTTTATGCAGATAGGGGAAGTTTGTCAGTGTGGAAATCAGCTTTGCAGATGAGTACGATTTTTGTAGATCAAGAGCAGCAAATCTCTGGTATGCAGGCTACCGATGCTCTCCTCACATAAGTCTCAAAATCTCATTCTTTACATTGCTGTTATTAATAAATTAGAATTGGTATGTGCAAAAGATAAAACACCACTATTCTTTAATGCTACCGTTGGAATGAACCTATCATAAAAATGTAATTGTAAATCAAGGGCTCAGATTTCCTACGCTGGCCAGTTAGCTTGTGCCAACATATGGCCCGTTTAGCCTGCACAATTTAAAGGGAAAACTTTTGTTTTTTAAGTCTTTTAGTGTGCCGCTTTCATTTTCCAGTTGCTTAAAGCCCCCATCACACCTTACTGTCATTACACCTGTTCCTTTCAATCTGTGAGTTTCCAGTGTAGCCTCTGAAGACATTTGAGCTTAAAACTCCCCTTCTACACCGTTCTCTACTCCTGGTCATTGTACACATCCAAATATGTCTGGTCCAAATATAGGTCCATTATCCAAATGTAAATAAAAAGCATTGTCCAAATATATGTATGAGTCCATGTAAGTAAAAAATATATTTTTTAGAACTGTTCTACTTCTCTACATGAGTTAAACCCTACATTCATATATGAAAGCAGTTCTGTTGTCTTGGGTTGTATGAGGCAGAGAATATGTAATCAACAAAACATCTGATATAATACACATATGTTAAAAAAATGGTGTGCATTTCTCCGCAGGTAACCTTTGATGTAGCTTGGTCTCCAAAGTGCATAGACAGAAGGTGCTATAATTATACTGGAATTGCAGATGCTTGTGACTTTCTCTTTGTGATGTCTTATGATGAACAAAGTCAGGTCTGGTCAGAATGTACGGCAGCAGCCAATGCTCCCTGTAATCAGACATTAACTGGTAAGATACACCAAATAATCATTTATTACTGATATTAATTCTGTAATCTAACACTAATATTTCTAAGTCATCTGTATACATTTTCCAAATGTAAAGCTTTCTTGAAACATTTAAAAAGCACTTAATTTGGAGAACTTTAAAGTTTACAATAAGTTTTAAAGTTTTCACTTATTCTTCTGAAAGTCTTGTGGGATAAGTATGTTATTTAATAACTGCCTAATACAGATGAGATGAAAAGTTATCTTGATTGCATAGCCATTAAGTGATATGTAGTTGAAACTCAAGCAAGTGTTTTAACTTCAAGTCAACATACTTCCCTCAAACTCACATGAAGATATTTGCCTATCTAGAATCTGACAATATATTTTTGTTGAAATGCCCAATGTTAATTTAATAGCAGAGATAGTTATGATGTGACACTTTCTATACATGATTGATAGGATTGGCTTTACCTTCTTTGACATTTGCTGTTAGTACACATGCTGTATTACAAACTACCTGCATACGCAGGAGATATTGTGGGCTCCATCCTGGATACCGCAGTAAAGCCAGGGTCACAGTAAAGCAAGTCATGGTCATTTTGCAGGTGGACAGTCTGTCTTTAAATTGTAAAACAAGCAACTTCTTTTCAATGCAGTAAAGAGGGTATGCCTGTATAGCATTAGAACTGAGAGTACTTCCTCTCATTCATATGATGTGGTCTTTGCGTTGTCTGTTCCAAAGTTTGGATTAGTTTGTATTCCATCAGCCAACTGAATAAAAGGTTGCTTGTTATCTTATGGATTCAAGGGAAATTTTCTGAGATAGTTGGCACTGACTAAATTGTTGTTTGGTAAGTAAGTAAATCCTTTCTTTTTCATATAGAGGTAAAACCTTACAACCTGGCCTCATTTTATCATGTTGTAATTGGACAGAATAGTCTGATCACAAGCACATACTCTTAAAAATTTGGCAAATAATGTAACTGTGTTACAATTAGGAAGTAACTAATCTAGTGTTCCCAAACTGTGTTTCATAAAAAAAGATGATAATTATGTTTTATCAATAAAAAGTTCATAATTAAATATATTTGGGATATATATCCCACCCATCTCTTGGATATTTAATGGTATACAGTAACTTCAAAGGCTCTGAAAAGTACCAAATTTATTTAACATTCTACATAGTCCTGAAACCTCTCTTGGTAGGAAAACATATTTTGTAGCATTAAGCATTTAGAGATTGATAGTACTAGTAATTTGTTTATTTTTCTTTGTTTCTGTAACTAAAGATTATATAATACAGAGTAAGAGGGTGACATTTCTCATCCCCAGCTGTAGTTGACCCTTTTAGGATATTTATAAAACATGAAACACTTGTGGTTTCTCTAAGAAATTCTGAGACCTTCCTGGACAGATAATTTAAGACTTAATAGAGCTTTATCAACACTTTAGAATCTTGAATATCAAATATATATCTTAGCAGTTAATAGACACAATCACCATGCTTTTCTGAAATGTATCATTCTTCCTAGGGTTAAATTTTGTAATTTTTGCATCAATTTGAACTTAATTGTTCTGAATGTTTTTATTATTTAAAAGAAAGGGCTTAGAAAATGATTTATAGTTTATAATTCTTAAGGGATGACTTTCAGAATATTAGAGGAACACTGTGCTAGTATTTTGTATAAATTTACCTGTTTTTATAAATTTAGATTCTGAGCAGCTGTATAGCTTGTATGAACATATTAATAGTCATATAAAGATAAAAATATGCCTTTTCTATCCCTATTTGATTAGCATATGATGACTACATCAAGATGGGCATTAACTCCAAGAAACTTGTAATGGGTCTTCCCTGGTATGGTTATGATTATACCTGCCTGACTCTATCAGAGGTAAGAACAGCTCATTTCTTTCCTTCTTTTTTTAAGATTTTATTTATTTATTTTTAGAGAGAGAAGGGAGGGAGATAGAGAGAGAGAGAGAGAGAGAGAGAGAGAAACATCAATGTGCAGTTGCTGGGGGTCATGGCCTGCAACCCACGCATATACCCTGACTGGGAATTGAACCTGTGACACTTTGGTTCGCAGCCCGCACTCAATCCACTGAGCTATGCCAGCCAGGACAGAACAGCTCATTTCTTATGTAATTTTTAATCTTTCTTTTCTATTTTATATCTTGTATTTATATATATGTATATACAATATATACTCTATTTGGAATTTATAAACTATTCTATATAGAGAGTATGTAAACTTTAGAATTTCTGAACTAAGTTTGAGACCAAAAAGGAGAGTTTATTTTTAATTATTCAATCACATAAAAGTTCCAAGTGTTTTATATTTTCACTTAATAATGAAATTTTATTTTCATACTGTATAGAAAGGACATCTATTTATAGTATATATTTTTCTAATAATAGTTTTCTGACGTAGTTTTTAACATATGCTTAATCGATACTCTATAACATGAACATTTTTGTATTTCTAGGATCATGTTTGCACCATTGCAAAAGTCCCTTTCCGGGGAGCTCCTTGTAGCGATGCGGCAGGACGTCAGGTGCCCTATAAAATAATTATGAAGCAAGTAAACAGTTCTATTTCTGGAATCCTGTGGGATGAAAATCAAAAGTCTCCATATTATAACTATAAAGTAAGACTTTTCACAAGTTATGAACATGTACTTCTATTAGTTTTTGAAGTTGCATATTGTGTATTTGATATGGAGAATTTTTATCAGTTTTCTTTTAAGGTACCACATACAGACTGTTGTTTAAAGATTTGACTTGCTTGTTTATTTATTTATTTAGAGGGAAAGGAGAAAGAGAGGGAGAGAAACACTGATTGGTTGCCTTCAGTATGCACCCCACCCAGGCATGTGCCCTAACCCAGAATTGAACTGGTGACGTTTCACTTTGTGGGATGGTGCCAGGGCCAGACTGCTGTTTACATTAGTGAACTTGTCTTTAAATCTGTGTAAACATTAACTTTACTTCCCTGTGAGCAATGCAAGTTATGGTCATTGTGGAACTGTTCTGCACGGGACACTTGTCACTGTGGGTGGTGTAATAAAAACATGCCTATCACAAGCAGGATTACTGCCCTGGCCAGTGTGGCTCAATTAGTCAAAGCATTGTCCCGTAGCCAAAAGTTGTAGGTTCGATTCCAAGCTGGGGCACATGCTTAGATTGCAGGTCTGATCCCCAGTCCAGACATGTATGGAAGGCAACCAAAAGATGTTTCTCTCTCACACTGATGTTTCTCTCTTCCTTCCTCTTTTTCTAAAAGCAATGAGAAAATGTCCTCAGGTGAGGATTAAAAAAATAAGATTTCCTTAATAATTAACAAATATGCATAATGACTATGGCTTCTAATGAGCTTTGGGCCAAAACAGGTTGCTAGCTCCGAAAGCCTCCATTTCAAAGTAGATAAAGACACTGATAAGGCTCCTATACAGGAAGCTAATGAGGCTGAGAGCAAGAGATGCACCATCATGGACTTTATAATAGAAAAGGGCATCATTTCAAATTAATTTCACAATTCAGTCAAACTATATGATATTAGACAAATGAAAGACAATGTTAAAATTAGAGACTGAAAAATATTACAAACAGACTTGAAGAAATGGAGTGAATGATCAGCAGTTCTGTCAGGTAGTGTTTGATAAATAGGAATTGCAAAAGAGGCAAAGAAGTTATATTTTTTTGTAATTTACCTTTAGTATAATAAGAACTATCCATACCTTACAAATCTAAGTACAGACTGTATTTGAATTTACTTTGGATTATGTTACTGTAAAAAGGAGCCCTAAAATGATATGCCTTAAATTAATTCTAGTAAGAATATATATTTTTAAAAAGATTTTATTTATTTATTTTTAGAGAGAGGGGAAGGGAGGGAGAGAGAGAGAAACATCTATCAGTTGCCTTTTGCACACACCCAACTGGGGGTCTGTTCCCGCAAAATGCAACCCAGGCATGCGCCCTAACTGGGAACAGAACCGGTGACCTTTTGGTTTGCAGGCCAGTGCTCAATCCACTCAGCCACACCAGCCAGGGCAGAATATTCTTAACAAATTGTCTGGTACTCTAATTAAAAAATGACTGCAAATATATGTATTTAATAAATTACAATGGATTTAAATCTATACATGCCTGTATATCAATTACATAGAAAGCTTTACTGTAAATTTTTCTAAACTTTAGAATCTAGTGTACATGCCTAGTAATTAAACTATGACATCCTGTAACCTTGTCTTTGCCAAACAGTATTTATAGAACTGTATTCTTGGAACTGTTAATATTACACACACACACACACCCCATGGTCAAATATATTTGGAAAGCAGTGCACACTATATGTCCCTCTTGGAGATTTAAAATGTACAACATTCTATTAAAGGATTTGAGAAGTGCTGCAGTACATAATCCATTTAATTGTTTCACATAGAATCTTGTTTTCCAGCACTCTTAAAAACATGTAGGGGGATGAGTGTTTCGTGGATATCAGTTTTGGAAAGACTGTAACCAATTATACATAGAAATATAGAATATAGAACAACAGTTGACACTGTAATGTAGTATCTTTGAATTCCTGACTTATTTTTTCCTTAGTGAATAAGAAGACACATTCTTTAAGGTCTTAGAATTCAGGAAACATTTTGAGGAGCCTTGAAGGCCATTCATTCACAGGCACTTTAGACAATGATCTAGTTATACCTCTTTTGTTCCTCTTTTTATTCATTGTAACATTTGTAGCAGCCGAAATTAAGTTTCCGGTGTGACTGAAGAGAATCATTTTGCCTTCTTATGCTGTCTCAGCAATAGTAGCTTCATCTTGGTACTTAATATTCTTGAAGGCATTTATGCCTTAACCAAGCATATATCAATGTTATATATGCTCTGTTTTTCAACCTTTAATCATTCACTATTTTGAGGCATTTGAAATTCTTAATAGTGTCAAAAGTGCTCAAAGTACAAGCTAGAATGATGGCAAATTCAAAGATATAGGTATTTGGGTTTGTTCCTAAATCTTCAAAAAGAAATACTTCTATATTTAGGTACAAGTTCTTCAAATAGCCTTTAAATGGTGAATTACAATTGTTACTAAAACATGCATGGCTTTTAAGTTCTAAATATTTGAAAGAACAGGATATAAGATATAGTACAGGATATACTTGTATGTAATGAGTCTACTATACTTAAATATGCCATAGTTTTATTTATTTACCAAATGACTATTGTCCTTCAGTGTAGTCATGTTGAGGAAACTATTCTAATTCCAGTGGTGCTACCATTAAAAAAAATGTTACTGGCTTTAGTGGAGAACTGCCTTTAAAAATTTTTCCCCAATGTATATAAAAATCAGTAAATTATTTTTAATCACAGGTTATTCTCTTTTTTACCTCCTATTTTCCCCCTTCTCTACCCTTTTGCCTAGATCTTCTCCTTTCCACTTTCCTTTGTCCTTTATCCAATCAATGATATACCTTCTAAAAGGGACTCTTTGTACTAGATGGAATAACTGTGGGGGAGGAGGACTTTACAGGGTGAAGGTGAGCATGACAGCATTTTCTAGTTCACAGTTCTTCATCAGCTGTGTGCATAAGGCATCCATGGAGTCCAGATCTGACAGGCTCTTCAATGAGTGCTGTAAGACCTAGAAAAGGAGTTACTTTTCTCATGTATTGTCATTACCTTCTTTTGATTTGACTAATTCATCATAAGCAAAAGCATCTGTTGAGGTCCTAACTAGAAACTGTAGAGAATTCAAAAAAAGGGTGTAAGTTGGATTCAAAGAACCACAGCAGCGATCTTCTTTAGTCTTGGCTGAATATCCTACTAACCTAATGGAACATAAAACGCAAAACAGACAAAAACCTATCAGCACACTAGGCCTGGAAAGTTTTGATTCAGTAGGTATCATGTAGTATGGGTTCCATGAATTCATACTTTTTAATCATCAGATTAGAGCAAGGAAAGAATTTTAGGCAAGAAAAAGACCTTAAATATAAGACATTAGGAGGTTTATTTATAGTAATCTCCATTGTTGTAAAAGTGCCACAAGCAATGATATCTACAAAGTCTCACATGAGAACCATGGAGTCACAGAACTGGGAAGTGTTGTGCCCTTAAATTTTTATTATTCACTGTATCCTTTTTGAATCCTTGAAATTAAGAAATGCTTTCCCTCTTATTGTACCGAATACTCAAAATTTACATTTTCATTTATTTGTACAGGACTCTGCTGGCCGTTTTCATCAAGTGTGGTATGATAACCCGAAAAGCATTTCTTTAAAGGCAACATATACACAAACCCGTGGCTTACGGGGCATTGGCATGTGGAATGCTAACTGCCTTGACTACTCTGAAGATGCTATAGCCAAACAGCAAACTGAAGAAATGTGGAAAGTCTTAAAACCGAAGCTGTGACGTATGTGAACATCTTTTGTCAAACTTAAGATTTAGAAAATCATCTATGTAAACAGATCTGGTTTCTTGAAAAGACAAAAAAATTTATGTTGTTGACATGTACCTATATATGTTACTTATCAGTATAATTAAAACAGACAAAGAATAAAGAGATATTTTGATTGTTTATATTTGAAGATGTATAGATATCTTAATTATCCAGCAACATAAAGGTAAGAAGTCGACATCCTATATTAATTATTCCTTTATAAGATGCTTTAATACTATAATTAGGAACTACTGCTTTCAAAATTTTATTATGCTGTTTTCCCCTTAATATTAACATGTATGCTTACAAATAAATGCTGATTTTTAAATATGTGTAATTTGAAGTGAAAATATTTGCTTAGAATAGATTTTTTAAAACCTAGTCTTTGAGAAGCAGTTTACTTTGTACTTTTTTTTCAATAAATCTAAACTTAAACCTGCAATTCATTCTCCTCTTTAGGTTCATCACACTGCTGTAAATAGTTTTCCTGACTCCATATGGTACTCATGCTCTCTGAGGCATATGAGCTAAACTCAAACCTCTGGAGAGAGAGGGGAAAGAATATAAAAGATTAAAATGCAAAGTACAAGAAGATAACTTAGTAATATTTTAAATTAATAGGTTAGAGCTACCTATTATTTTCCGACTAGATTTTTACAGGTAGTTATGGATGACATTTTTTATGTGTGGGTATATCTGATATAGGATATCAGATACAATAGGAAAAGCTTGCTGTTGAACCTGATTCTACCCCTTGTCACGTACCCTTCATCTGTTGTCATTTACCCTTCCAATTACTAATATTCCTTCACTTATGGACATCTATACTTTACTTCTTGGCTAGTTTTCTTTTCATGGTTAAATTTTTATTTTTATGTATCTGCATTTTACTTTAAATTATCTAAACATCCTGTTTTCTCAAGCAGTTCCTCTTTCAAAAAGAGATATTTTGTGCAAAGAACCTTTATAAATGTTCTTTATCTCAAGGCAATTAAGAACAACATTGTGTGCACTTTATTAGTTCCTTTAAATACTTAGACTAAAAGTCTGTATCCTTGAACTCTAGACTTACACAAATCCTGCATTCCCTGCACATTTTCCCCTCTAAACTGAAATAAATGACTCAGTCATCTGTTATGAGAGTATTCCATCTCCTACTTACACAGTTATTATGGCAGAGTAACAGCAACCACTTTCCATACAATTTGCTGAATTTCTAGTGTCTTTATATAAATTACTGAAAAATTTAAATTCTTAGACACTAAACTGTCATAACTCTGAATGCAAATTCAGTATCCTTATTCTTTTGTATTTCCAGATTGCTTTTAATTAAAGTGCAATGAGTACATTAAACAGTATCTATTTATATGCAAATATATTCCTATTTATTAAGAATATGATTTTAATCATATTTACAGTCATATTAGCTACATTTAAGATTATTTAACAATAACCAAATGGGCATCATTTTACTTTTATTTATCTGTTTCCTGAAATCCTTTTTATTACCAAAGGATTTGGTGAAAAATATAAACTTTATGATTTACATAAAATATTGCCATGGAGAACAAATGTCAAACAAATCTGATCAAATAAATATTTAATATTTTACATACCTAATTGAAGCTGTAAAGATGTATTAATATTTTTCTGTGTCAGTGCAGCTTTCAGTGTGGATACATCTGAAATTGCTTGTTTTCTCATCTATAAATGAATTATTTTTCATAAATGAACTTCATTTTACCCATCTTAAATTACATAATTGTCATCTGAATGAAGGTTTTTTTGTAACTGTTTTAACTGTCTTCTTTCATTTCCCTTTAATGCCTTCACTTGCACTGAATTACTAGGTTAAACTTATAAATCAAAAGTCCTGCTTATTTACTGTTGGGTAACCTATCAAATAATTTTACTTAATAACATAGTCATAATAAAATTAAACTGTTCTAAAAAACCTAAAGTGAAACAATTTTTTATCTTTTGCTAAAGCTTCAAACCTTGTTCTAAAGTGAAAAGGAATAGTTAAAAAAACCCATAATTACAAAAAACCTTAATTCCTAGCCCTGAGAAACTAAAGTTAAGAAACATAATACAGTAGTGTTATTCCACTCTTCTAAGTGAATTAATCCTTTATTCTACCAAAAATGTCATTGAGACCTATACTACTAGTTATCCCCTTTTTACAGTTGAGCAAACTGAGATGCCTAGAAGTTAAGTAACTCACTCCAGGTATAAAACTAGTAAGTGGCACAGCCAGGATTTAAACTCAAGTCAGTCTGGTGCCACAGCCCTTACTATTCCGTGTATTGTCTGTGGACCGAAGCATTCATATCACCCAGGAGCTTCTTAGGAATGACGACTCTCAGGCTTTACCCCAGGACTGTTAAGTCAGACCCAGGTGATTTCACACTGAACTTTGAGAAGCACTGCTTATGCTATACCAACTTGAATATGGTTGCAACAGACTCTGGCTAGGTTTCTTGCCCCTCAGTTCTGACTCTTATAGGTAAGTTTGAAGTAAATTATTCCAAATATAATAATCAATAGTAATGATGTCTACTATGTGCCAATTAGACACTATGGTTAAATGTAGAATTTCCCCCTCAATCTGTATGCTGAAAACTGTTCTCTTTTTCCTATTAGTCTTTCCTCTTTTTTGTGCCAGAAATTCTAATATGGGTTAAAACCATTCATAAGTGATATTTATAAGGTTAAAATATACAAAGATGGTAAGATCTAATGTGCATCCTTTCCAAAAGAAAAGAACAGTGAGACTCTTGATTGAAGACTCTGGAGGCATTTGTATTACTTTCTTTTACCCACCCAACTATCAGTAAGTGCACAAGTTTCCACACTGGCTTTCTCTCTGTTTTTTTGAATATACAAAGTTTCATTCATTGAACCAATTATCTTTTGAGTACATACTGTATAATAATGCTAAATATTCATGTTTACTTAAAAATGCTCCTTTGCCCTTTTCCTTTTCTGTATTTTAAGTTTCTCAATGCTGAGCCAAGGGCTAGCCTTGAGAATGCCAGTAGTGAAAAGAATCTAGAACTCTGCTGTGCAGTATAGCAGCCATTTGCCAAATGTAGCTATTTAAATTAAAATCTATTCAAATTAAATAAAATTTGAAACTCAATTCCGTAGTCATCCAGCAAGCTACATTTCAAGTACTCAATACCCTTATGTGGCTAGTGGCTACCATACTGGACAGTGCAGGTATGGAACATGTCCAGCATCACAGGAAGTTCTCTTGGATAGGGCTCAACCTAGCAAGGGGTCATTATTCTGTCATCAAGCTATTTCTGGTGAAGAGGTGAAACGAGAGCATTCATACAAGTATATAAATGAAAATAACTGTAGAAAGTGAGATAATTACCCAAGAGAGAGGGAAAATTAATGAAAATTAAATTTTAAAAAGTCAAACTTATTCATGAATGACTCTAGCATATGAAAACTACTTCTTTGAAAATATTTTATTGAGCCTTTGTAGTGATTCACAGGGTCCTTTTCCTTTAATTCTTACTGGAATTTTTACTGAATTTTACTTTGACCTTGATTTAACATGCATCTTTTCAGGATTTAGTGGTCATTCTTGCATTTTTTTTTCACATGTGCTCTTTGTCAAGGTAACAATATTAAAACAGTCAGTCCTTCCTTCTTATGCTATTAACACCCCAAGTTAAAACACCAACAAGTTTTATCATTTAATCAGGAGAAATGAAAATTACCTTAGCTTCTATGATGAGTTTTATTTTCTGAATATCTGATTTTCTCTTAAGTTGGTCAATTGCACACTGTACCTCGGTGATATGAAGTATAAGGTTATTCTGTGTGAGATATATTAAGATGTCTTTATTAAGGATAACACCTATACATTTTAATTTTTAATTGCCTTGCTAACATAAACTATGATGTGATTAACAAAAACCAAAAGCACAAATCGTGAAAAAAATCTATTCCATAAAATAAACATTGCTTTGAAGTAAATTACTATTAACCTGTTGATTTCTTCAGTTTAGGGACTGCTTTCTCTTTTGTTCTTCTATCATCATTCATGTATTATAAAAATAAATAGGCAATTTGCAAAAATTACCATGAAATTAGTACCACAAATGCCAACTATTACTACAAAAGGAATATGCTTAAGATATTAGCAAAGCTTTAGAAATTGGCATAATGCTTTATTAGCTGAGTGAGATTAGCATTACTTTAACATACTTAATAATAAAGTGGTACATTTCATATAAGAAAACTTATTTAGTACAAGTAAACCTATTTAATATAAGAACACTTTTGGTTACTTTTGTTTGAAAAGTTTATGAAGTATATGGTCAACAGAAATTACTTAAAAATTTAAGAAGCCTTTATGAAAATAACTGTCATATATTGAATTGATATAATGGCTAAATAGATACTACTAGGTATGCTAAAAATTTGTATCAGCTAATATGGACAAAGCATTACTTGAGCTTATTTAGATTTTACATTAAATTTATCTAAAATGGTAAACATTTGCTCTGGCCAAGTAGCTTGGTTGATTGGAGCATCATCCTGTACACCAAAATGTTGCAGGTTTGATTCTTGACCAGGGCACATACCTAGGTTGCAGGTTGCTGGTTCAGTCCCAGGTCAGGTGCCTATAGGAGGCAACCAACCAATGTTTCCCTCTCACATTGATGACACTCTCTCTCTCTCCCTGCTCCTCCCTGCCTCCCCCTTCCTCTCTTTCTAAAATCAATAAAAACATATCCTCAAGTGAGGATAAAATAAAATAAAATAAAATAGTAACATTTTACTCATAGAAACAGAGAACAGATTGGTAGTTGCCAGGGGTGGGGCACAGGGGAATTAGGTGAAGGGGCCAAAAGGTACAAACATCTAGTTATAAGTTAGTAAGTTCTGGTGGTGTAATATATAGCATAATGACTATAGTTAACAATACTGTATTGTATATTTGAAAGTTGCTAAGCAAATAGGTCCTAAAAGCTCTCATTACAAGAAAAAAATTGTAACTATAAGGCAATAGATATTAACTAGACTTATTGCAGTAATCATTTCACAGTATATACATATTTCAATTCATTGTGTTGTGCACCTTAAATCAATACAATATTACAAGTCAATTATATCAATAAAACGGGGAAAATATAAATGAGGAAATTTTTAGTATTTTATTATATTTTGCTGATTATGATTTTTCCCTGTTTGCCCCTTCCCCCCAGCACCCCCACTTCCTCAGGCAATCTCTCCACCATTGTTCATGTCCATGGGTCATGTGTATAAGTTTTTGGCTACTCCACTTCCCATACTGTATTTTACATCCTCATGGCTATTCTTTAACTGCCTATTTGTGCTTCTTAATCCCCTCACATCTTCACCATCCTCCTCCTCCCCCCTCCCATCTGGCAAACTTCTGGTAACTAACTTCTTTTCTCTTGCTGCTTTTAAGAGTCTTTATCTCTAAACTTTGGCCTTTTAATAATGACGTGTCTTGGAGTGGGCCTCTGTGCATCCATCATAACTGGGACTTTCTGCAAATTCCTGGACTTGCATGTCTGTTTCCTTCACCAAATTAGATAATTTTTCTTTCACTATTTTTTCAGATAGATTTCCAATTTCTTGCTTTTTCTCTTCTTCTGGTACCCCTATGAAGCAAATGTTAGACCTCTTAAAGTTGTCCCAGAAGCTGTTTATACTATCCTCATTTTTTTGGATTTTTTTTTCTTGTTCTGTATTGTTGTTTTTTCATTCTGTATGTCCCAAATCATTGATTTGATTCTTGGCTTCATCCACTCTACTGTTGTTTCCCAGTAAATTGTTCTTAATTTCAATTAGTGTATCCTTTGTTTCTAACTGGATCTTTTTTATGCTGCTCATTAAGTTCCTTGAGCATCCTTATAAAGTGTTTTGAACTCTGCATCTGATAGATTCCTTAACTCCATTTTACTTAGCTCCTTTTCTGGAGTTTTGATCTGTTCTTTCATTTGGGCCATGTTTCTTTGTCTCCCCATTTTGGCAGACTTCCTGTGTTTCTTTCTACGTATTAGGTAGAATTGCTTTGACTCCATATCTTGATAGTGTGGCCTAACGTAGTAGGCATCCTGTAGCGTCCAGTGGCACAGCCTCCCCTATCACCCAAGCTGGGTACTCAAGGTGCACCCTTCATGTGGGCTGAGTATACCCTCCTCTTGTAGTTGAGCCTTGGTTGCTGTTGGCAGATCAATGGAAGGGATTTACCCAGGCTAGCCAGCTGCAAGGACTGGCTGTTGACCACTGACCACCCACCTCCACCCTCCGTGAAGGATCAGTTGTGCAGGGGAGGGGCAAGGTGGTGGTGCTCTGACGTGGTCTGTAGCTGTCAACTGGGTGTGTTAGATCTGGGTTTAGATCTGGGTTAGATCTGGGTTTCCCGAGTGGTGCAGGCCAAGGTCATCCCCCACCTGTGTTTTGCCCAGTGCACCCTGCCTGAGCTGTAAAGCAATCTGAGGTGGCTGCTACTCATGCTGGGCTTGGAGATTCCCAGGTGACACAAAGCTGTGACTCTAACCTAGCTGCCACGAGGGCTCACTAAAGCCAGCTGTTGCTTGTTTGATAGGATTTAGGAGCTAAGACCAGCCATTCTCATGGAAAAGCTGCTTGGATGGGCCCCTAAGTTAGTTGGGGTGGAGCCTCTGTGGATCTCCAAAGTAGGTCACACAGTGCTAGCCAGGTTGATGGAGTCTCAGATATGGCACCAGCCTACTGATTCTGTAGGGGGAGGGGTCAGCAAAGGGACAATGGCCTCTGCTCACCCCGATGTCAGACACTCCAGTCTCTCCCTGTATACCACTGGTGCTCTTCAAGCTGGCAGCCCAGTGCTGGAGCTCACAGGGAGCGAGTCTGAGTATGTTAGTCCATGTGTGGGTTTCCCAAGAGGAAATGCTTAGAGATCCAGCAGCCACTTCCACTGATTCAATCCCTGCCAGTTGTTGCAGCCAGAAGTTGTGGGGACTTATCTTCCTGGCACTGGGATCCTGGGCTGAGGGCCCTGGTGTGGTCTGGGACTCCTCACTCCGGAGACATCCCTCCAGAATTTTTATGTACGTGGGTGTGGGGCCAGCCCCTCCTACGAGACTGGGTGGATGTGGTTTCTTTAATTCCATGGTTGTCAGACTTACATTCAGCTCGATTTCTGACATTCCTGAGTGATGGCTGTTCTATATTTTATTTGTAATTTTGATGTGGTTGTGCAAAGAGGCGAGCCACGTCTGCCTACATCACCATCTTGACCAGAAGCTGAACTTTTTAATATTTCATCATGTCTAAAGTTAACTCGATAATCTTAATCATGATTAAGTTTTTATATGGTTAACATATAAAAACTTTTTTGGGTAAGTGGAATAGGGTAATGAAAATTAAACAGATATGTAACTCCTGGAATTTGTTTTTTAATTATATGGTGTAATTACTCAATTTAAAAAATAAACTTCATGTCTCTGATTTTTCAATACTCAAGACTATCTTAAGAAAAAATAGACAAAATTTTATATAATTTAATAATTCTAGAAAATCAATAATTTGAGATTCCATGAATGTTATTAACCTCCCCACACATAAAAGAGGAATGTAGTAAATAACTGTTTGTCTCTCACTGTATTTCATCATGTGTTCATCTCTTTCCCATAGAATCAGAGAAAATAAGCCTAACCTCAGGGACAGAGTTGTTTGTAATTGATCTAAGTCAGCATATAGCATTCCCTGGTAACTATTATTATTCCAGGGTAGGCCTGGTTGATCCCCCACCAAGCAAAAGGGCAAGTTTTGTATATTCCATCTGTCTGGAAGAGGTTCTTTGTTGGTTTGGAGGCATATAACCCTACTTGCCATTGGCAACTCTATTGCTACCATGAAGGAAAGGCATTCTGTAATCAAACCAACATTTGAAAATAATCAGGAAATACTGGGTTGGCCAAAAAGTCCATTATGTTTTTTCCATAATACAAAAGACACATTTTTTTCATTATCACCAATATCTTTTTTAACTTGGATATTTTCAGTATGTTGGCTATTGCCTCACGGTATAAAATTGATTGTTCTCAATTAATGTCTCGATTTGATTGCTATCAACTTCAACTATTCTATTTGACTATGGAGCAGCATCGTCCAGTAAGAAATCTCCAACATGAAACTTTGCAAACCATTTTTGACATGTTCGATCAGTCACAGCACCTTCTGCATACAGTGCACAAGTCTTTTTGCATTTCAGTTGTGTTTGGACCTTTCTTGAAATAATAAAGCATAATATGTTGAAAATGTTGCATATTTTCTTCCATCTTCAATATTTAAATGGCTACACAAAAACTCATCGATTTTGATAAGTTTTTTAAAATGTACTCTGATATGACAGCTGTCACAATACAATCTAACAAAACTGTTTCGGACGAAGCTGAAGACAACTAAGTGCTATGAGAGCCACTATAGGGCAAAAAAATGATACAAACTTTTTGGCCAACCCAGTACCAGAAGCACCTAGACATTTAAAGACATCATCACACAGGTGATTGTATCTCCTCAGCATCATGAATTTTCTTATTGTTTAAGCCAGGTTTAAGTCAAGGTTTATTTTATCTGCAGCCCAAAGCATCCTAAATATAATAATACTAACAATTATAAAGCAAATATTTTAAATAGAATTTCTCTAATAGAATGTGAACACATTTAGTAGCACCTTAGAGTTTGTGATGTTTGCTATAGTCTTCAATCTTATCTTGATCTCCCTAGCTTTAAGCTGCATGAGCAGTTTTTTATAGTAGAGTTCTAAATCTTCTTGAAATTTTACTAAAACCTCCTCCAATGATGCTGTCACTTTCTTTGTTTCAAAGTATTTTTTCTTCGAACTATCACAGGCTATAAAAAAAAAAGCAAAGGCTATAGTTTGAGTTTGATTAAAGGATTCAACTTTTAAATCTAAAAAGGACCCTAGAGTTAAAGTCTTCTATTCCCTCCTCTCCCTCCCTTATATGCCCAGAAAATTAGAACTAAGAGAAATATTTCTTAAATAATAAAAGTATTTATCTACAAATATAGTGAAATAGTAGTATATACAAAATCCATGACCAAGTTTTTCTTTAAGCTTATAATTATTTCTGGAAAATATTTATTAAAAATATTATATATAGCAAAATGCCCATAATTTTTATTTTGATTACTATTCCATAATCTGATTTGATTATGGAAACTTTATTTATAATTATGAAAGAGGCATAACATACTTTTTCTGATTTTTCCTTAATTTCTTCAGCCCTCAAAATGACATGTTTTGTGATATCTGGTGATGCTGATTCATCTTCTATCAAGATTATTCCACCTATATCCCCAAAATTGTGTGGATCAGATATCTCAAACCTGACACTCTGAATTAGAAATTCAACACTACCAGCTAGGGAACTGCTCTGGCACTGATGAGATTCTAACTATAAACTTAACAGCAACACCAACTGCATGCTAGCATACCAGATTATGTTCGTGTTCATTTTTTTCAGATTATCAAAAAGAATGTAAACCCCATATTTAAAAACTCTATATAGTGATTTTATTAAAAATATACAACTACATTGAACTTAACTCAAAATTTTAACTATTGCCCTATATATAATCTTTATACCTTATAAAAGAAAGAAAAGAAAGCATTTCTTTCTTTCTTTTTTTAAAAAAGATTTTATTTATTTATTTTTAGAGAGAGGGAAGGGAGGGAGAAAGACAGGGAAAAAAGAAACATCAATGTGTGGTTGCCTCTCCTACGCCTCCCACTGGGGACCTGGCCTGCAGTCCAGGCTTGTGCCCTGACTGGGAATCGAAATGGTGACCTTTTGGTTTGCAGGCCAGTGCTCAATCCCCTTAGTCACACCAGCTAGGGCTTTTTTCTTTTTCTTTTTTTTTTTTTTTAAGATCTTTCTAACTGATCTCTCTGCTTCTGTTCTTGTCCCTCTAAAGGCTACCATGTAACAGCCATCCTGAATATTCTAACATATTTTAAAAATCACATAAATTCCTAGCTTAAAAAATCCTCCAATGGACTCCCACTTTACTTAGAATAAAATCCAAATTCCTAGAATTGGCCTATCTGTTCCTTGCTTTTATTTTTTATTTTTTAATACCACTCAAGGATATGTTTATTGATTCTTTTTTAAAGATTTTATTTATTTATTTTTAGAGAGGGAAGGGAGGGAGAAAGAGAGAGAGAGAAACATCAATGTGCGGTTGCTGGGGGTCATGGCCTGCAACCTAGGCATGTACCCTGACTAGGAATCGAACCTGTGACACTTTGGTTCGCAGCCCGTGCTCAGACCACTGAGCTACGCCAGCCAGGGCTTGTTTATTGATTTTTTAAGAGAGAGGCAGGGAGAGAGAGAGAAACCTCGATGTGAGAGAGAAACATTGATCAGTTGCCTCCCATATGTGCCCCAACCAGAGATTGAACCCACAACCTAGGTATATGCCCTGACCGGGAATCAAACCTGCAAACATTTGGTATATGTGACAAGTCTCCAACCAAGCCACCCAGCCAGGGCTTCTTGCTGAACTTTTGATGTTAATTCTCTCTACATTCCTCCTTAGTTATCATACTCCAGCCACACTGGCCTTCTTTCAGGTCTTAAGACTGAAAACTCATTCCTATTTTCAGACCTTGACATTTAGTATTCCTTTTGTTCCTACTATTTTCCCCCTATCTCTTTACATACTTGCTTCCTTAAAAAGCAAATCTTAATGGTATCTCCATAGAAATGTAGCTCTTGGAAACCCTAGTTAAAGCATCTCTCCTGCCCATCACTCTCCTACACTCTTTTCAAGTGACACCTCAGCTCTAATTAATAGCTGATATTGTCTTATTTGTTAAGCAAGCTCCTTAGAGGAAGGGCCATGTTTGTTTTATTTACTGCTATATCCTCAGCAGATAAAACAATGCTGGAGCCCTGGCCAGTGTGGCTCAGTTGGTTGGGCACTGTCCAGTAGGGCATATGCTTGGGTTGTGGGTTCAGTCCCCTGTCGGAGAATGTCTCACATTGATGTTTCTCTCCCTCCCTTCTCCTCCATCTAAAATCAATAAACATGTCTTTGGGTGAGAATAAAAAATTTTTTAAATCAATGCTGGAACTCTAACTGGATAGCTCAGTTGGTTAGAGCATCATCCTGATACTCCAAGGTTTCAGGTTCAATCCCTGGTCAGGGCACATAGAAGAATCAACCAATGAATACTCTCTCTCCCTCCCCCTTCCCCTCTCTCTCTAAAATCAATAAATAAAAATTAAAAAAACACAGTGCTGGAATGGAAGCACATAATAGGCTCAATAAAAATCTAATGGCTAATACATGCCTTTAATTTGAAATGTTCCTGTTAAAATGGAAAGTGACTGATCATTCTCATTTTATAAACCAAAAGAGTGAGGCACAAAGAGGAGGAATAACTTACCTAAGTAAAAGACTGATCTGGTATTAGAATCAATCTTTCAATTTCTAGTCCATTCCTTGAATCTGTCTAATAAAATTGCTCATTTAATGTGCAACAAGGTTGAGTCACTGCCATCACTTTCAGATAACATTTTAATACTAGGATGTAGAACATTCAAAAATGTCTCCTGAAATTGTCTATAACCTTCCGTCAATTCTAGTACTGAAGCAATAATTTTGCCGTAAATTGAGAATCCTAAAATCAGTTAATTCCATATGAACCTGTTACCCTTATAATTCTCAAGTACAACCCAAAACGCAGGACTCTAAAATCATTTGACATCTTTCAAACCATTAGCCTATACTTTCTCCACCCTGGCTCATTTTTTTCACTTCTACCAGTCCTAACAGCAATGTTTCTATTTCCATTGCAAGGAAACTACCTACTTCTACCTAATTCCTATTCATTCACTCATTCACTCATTCTTTCATTCATTCAGTTTAGCAAAACAGACAGACACACATAAAAAAATTAAGCACCTTGAGGAGACTAAGGAAACCCAGGATTCTAGAGTGAGATATAAGCTGAGGTTGAATGGTTAGTGAGAAAATAGCCAGTTGAAATGGGGAGAAGAGGATAAAAGGAGAAGGTAGGACAAGCAGATGGACATGGCAGAAGGAAAACCATGCCTGAAGGCCTGAATCCAAGAGGAGGCACACTTCAGATGCTGGCACACCTTTTCCTGGATGTGTTTCTTATCTCTTCCATCTAGTTTAGGTGTTCTTCCTCTGTATTCCTGCATAGAGTTCTGTAATTCCTTTATCACAGTACTCATCAGGATATATACCATTACTGCTTAACTTGATTATCATTTCCCCATTGGACTGTAAACTCTTGAGGGCAGGGACAAGACTGTGCCTGCCTATTAGTATCAGCTGCTAGAACGGTGGCCAAAATCAGTAGGCACTTAATAGTTATATAGTAAATGAGTAGAAGAATGAATAAATGAATGTCCCTTATGAAAAATATTGGAATTTTAATAAAAATACTCTACATAAAGCATGTTGCATTTATTGTATTAAACAGAGTTAAACAATGATTTAATGTTTTCTGAATTGAACTCATATCAAGTATACCACTTAAACCATAACAGTAAAATAGTAAATACTAAAAAGCATAAATTCTATAAAACTTAAGCTTTTTATAGTGATAAAAGATATGTAATAAACTTTACCACGATATTGTCTCAATGTGCTTTGTTCATACTGCTTTTCAACTTTTATTAGCTCCTCTTTAATTCTTTGCAGATACTTTCTTTCTTCCTTTACTTGTTTTATTTGTTTGATAACCTTCCTTCCTAAAATATAACCCATGCTCATCAATGTCTGAAAGCTAAAAGATGGTTCATTTCCTAAAATATAGTGTATAAAACTTAAATGTAGTTTAAAATAAGTTCTACCCAAAATTTTATTTTTCTTCCTGCAATATAGTATTTGCTGCTATAGAAAACTCTGAGGAATCAATTCCCTTTCTGAGAATGATACCTAAGAGGATTTACATATATGTGAAGAACACAGACGTCCCATACATGTGTAAAGCTAGGTAAAGCTCAAGTAGTTATATGTCTTGGTTTAATTCTTTTGGTAAATTTATCTTGGGCCCAAAGTTATTGCAATGAAATCTTACATGAAAAATGTAAATTTTAGAGTGTATTTTTTAAAGCAGAAATCATATTAGTGACCAAAGATATGCACTAATTAACATAAAATGTGTATACTTTAAAATAATGTAACTTCTTTGTGGTAAAATATGCATTAAGTTATGATTTTAACCATTTTTAGTGTATAGGTATTATGTTATTTACAATATTATGCACCCATCACCACGACCCATCTTTGGAACTTTTTTTAAACTTCTCAAACTGAAAGTCATTGCTCATCACACAATAATTCCCCATTAACATCATTTAACTTTATCTCACAGAATCATCTGTACTTATGGTATCATCATACTTACTATGAATCTCTAGTGAAGAGATTTCAGTTATTCCTGGAAAATCAGCAGGGACATCATTTCCTTGACAAGGAAGTGAAGGAAAATCTTTAAGATCTGGTAAGGTGATGTATTCTTTTTTACCTATCTGAAAGAAAACATGAAAATCAGTAAGATTTGGTAGGGCGATACATTATTTTCCCCCCATCTGTAAGCATTTGATAATATGTAACAACAATACATTTTTTTACTTATATGGTGATTTTTTTTTGCTTATAAGTATTTATACTTACAGACTCTTTCTTGTGCTCTAGCTTCTCCATTCCACTATTACTTAGAATGGCTTCCAATGTAAAATTTAAGAAAAAGAATCTATTATTGTTTTCTGAATATGATTTTCTTCGAAGGTTTCTGGCCTTAGTTATTTTTTATGGTAGATAATGTTTACATTTTTCTAAGCTGGCTATGATTTTTTTCCATATTGAGTAAATTTTGATCATTTAAATTTGCTTAGAAAATTGGATTCGCTATAGCATTTTCAAATTTTTGCACACATTTTGTTTTCATATATTTTATCTCTTCTATATTTGTGTTATAGCACCTTTATCTTTTCTGATTTTTGAGTTTCTGCCCATTTTTGATAAACTACTACAAGCCTTAGCAATGTTGATGTTTCTCTTTCTACCACTTTATGGATCTTGAATTGTTTCAATTCTGCTAGTTTTTTCTACTTCTGTAACTTATTAGTTTCTACTTTATATTTCCTTAAGCCCTTACCACTACTTTGTTTTATAATTCTTTTTCAAGTTTATATTATTTTATTTTCTTAACTTATAAAATCAGTTTCTCACAGGATAATGGCAACCTCCTAAATCAGAATCTTTCCATGTATCCTCCCAACTACTATAAAAAGAAAGCAAATAAAAGTACCCATAATTTATACCTACAGCACAGCTAGGACACAGAATCCTTTAATTTACACATGCTTTAATCTACATGTAAGTGGAGAAATAAACATAGTAGGCCAGCAGATTGTGTTCAGGAGCCAACAACTAAGCAGAGTCATACATGACTATGCATTAAAGAGAAGTATGTGGATCCTGAGAAAGAAGATAACTATGAAGAAGGGCTTCTAGTGGCTAACTGGGCTCAAATTCTAAAAAAAAAGAGTCTAGCAGCCATTTCTATACAGGAGCCTCTCATACATACTGCACTTCACAGAGAAGCCTGCATGCACCTATGCGTCGCTGCACTGAACTGCTTGCCTGCACTGTCTGAGCCAGCCCTTACAAAGGAGTTCCTAGAATCCCATTTTAATCCTAGGAGCTGCTTAGCGATATCTCCACCAGCATCTTCACTGACCAATCAGAGAAGTGCCATTTGGACCACACTGCAAGAGAATTTGGAGTCCTCATTTGCATGAGAACAGACCAATCAGGGACCAGGGGCAGGGACTTCCGTATCTACAAGCAGCTCCCTCTTTGGCTCAGGGAGCACACTTTCCTTTCCACCAGAGGCTGAAGGTTGTTTCCCTGGCTGAGCTGAAACACAGAGATGTCTCACCACAGCCGAGTAGAACAGACGAACAAAGGACAGAGCAGAGTGGCATAGAATGGAGCAGACAGGCACAGTGCAAAGCAGATGATAATGGAACACAACAGAGCAGAGCAGACCATCCAGAAAGCAAAGCACAGCTGTCTAGATGAAGAGGGGCCTGGTCCCACATCACAGCCCTGCTGCATCACTATTGAGCTATTTTGCACTGAGTAAAGTTTCTGTCTTCACCATAGACCAAACTGGAGATTTCTGTTGGTGTTGAATTGGTGCCAACAACCATGAATTGACAACTATGAACAGATGACACAGGAAACATCAACCACAGTTATATCTGAAATAAGAGGCCCTTCCCATGCAGTGAAGAAATAGTGAGAGTAAGAATAAGATCTGGTTAATCAGAGCACTTTCTATGAGGAATCTAGAAGAAAAGGGCTTGTAAAATGTAGGGGGCCAGAGGTGGTAATCATGAGAAGACGTAACTTCTGAGAGGAAAATGCTTTGACAATAAGAGTTACTATTCCTTTGGGCATAGATGGTAAGAAAGAAGGAGAAAGTAGGTAAGATAAGACTTGTGAAGAATTAAATTAGTAAGAAAAGTATCCAAAGAAAACAAACTCCTTCCCTGCCAAACCCCATTTATTTAAAAATAAATGGCTGCATTTTGTTGTACCAACAGAAGAGGGTGCTCCTAACTAAGAAGCAGAAAAGCCATCAAAATACGGCTCTCTCTTCCTCTATAAGAACACCTGTTTGTTATTACTGATAAAGAAAAGTCCAACACAAGTAAACATGAACAATATCTATAAAACAATCTAGCATTCACAGTTAGTTTTTTTAAACCCTCAAAATTGATCTAACAAGCAAAATAGAGATAGACTCATAGATAGAAAGCGAGCTGACAAATCTGGGCGGGGGAACTAGGAGGGTATAGGGATCAAACAAAAAAAAAGAGAAAGAACTCATGGGCAAGGAAATAGTGTGATGACTGCAGGGGTAGGGGGTTGGATGGCGGTGGGGGAAGGTATGGGGGATAAATGTTGATGGACAAAATAAAATATAAGTAAATAAATAAATACCCTAAAAATAAGCACATTTTTGCAGATATTAACACTCTAAATTAAAAATTTAATAACTAAGAATAACAATAAAAACATAACAGGAACATGTGAAATAAAGTTGGCCAAGCAGAAGAAACTAAGGAAAAAATAAAATAGTCTCAGAAATAAATAAATCAGTAATTATCCAAGGAGGATCAGATATGACCAAATATATAGTAAGGATAATGACGAATATAAATTAAATGGGCAAAGAAAATGAAACATAAAGATAATAGTAAAATATATCAGAGAAACAGTAACAAATATAAAAGGCAAAGATAACACTAATTGTGGTAACTGAGAAATAAATGGAATGGATCTGCTCTTTCAAGTGTTTGCTAATTTTAGAAAACATTCTTGAAACAAAAGAATGGCTGTGTTCCACATACACAATGGAACATTACTCAGCCATAAAAATGAAATTTTACCATTTATGAAAAATGGTAAAATGAAAGCATGAAACCATGAAAGCATGGATGGACCTAGAGGGTTGGTTTTATGCTAAATCAAATGTCAGGCAGAGAAAGTCATGTATTGTACCATATGATTTTCCTTATATGTGGAATCTCAAGAACAACATAAATGAACAAACGAAATTGAAACAGACTCTTATACACAGAGGACAGACTGATGGTTGCTAGAGGGGAAGGGGGTTGGAGACTGAGAGAAAAAGTGAAGGATTATGAAGTACAGATTGGTAGTTACAGAATAGTCATGGGGATGTACAGTAAAGCATAGGGAATATAGCCACTAATACTGTACTATGTATTGTGCCGCACGGGTACTGGAAATACCAGGAAGACACTTTGTAAAGTATATGATTGTCTAACCATTATGCTATAAACTGAAACTAATAAAAAATAACACTGCATATAAACTGTAATTGAAAAATTAAAATAATAAAAATATAAAAAAACATTCTTAAGTCACAGGCCTTACTAAACAGACTGCAGGCATAGTTTGCCTACCTCATTTCTCCACAAAATTTTAAGTGTGGAAGCAGTAAGGGAATATTGTACCAACAATATTATTTTATAATATTTCTATTATAAGTTGAGACTTATCCATCTAACTGATGATTGAAAAAAACATAGAAAGAGAATTTGGAAAAAATAATATGTGGAATACTTAAACAATGTACTCAGCAAGGTACACTATATGGCATAGAATAGAGGAAGACATTTGCAATATACATAAGCATCAATTTTCAGTGTATACTAAAAATTCCCACTAATCAGCAATCTATGGCAGGTAACCTAATAGAAATACTTGAAAAGTTACTTCCAAAAAAGTTTTCAAAATGGAGTCCACATAATACAAAATCATGATCAACTTTAAGGGTATCCTGGGAGGTTAAAATTCCAACTTCAGTGAAATAGCATTAATCACTCATCAGACTGACAAAAATTTTAAAGCATGAAGGTAGCATGTTTTATTAATACCCAATAACAACAGAACATAATTTGTTGGAGATGGCATGCCTTTGCTCCAATACATATTTAATTGTAAATCTATGGGGGCTCTGAGCTGTGATTCTCCTACCAGTGCTTGTCTCAGACTCCATTCAGTATTCCAATCCATGACAGACTGGACATCACTGGATCAGCTGGACTATACAACACAAGTGGCAGCTCTACTTGCAATGCCTCTGGGGTCACCTAGTGAGCCATTTTGCTTTGGGCCCACTCAAAGTTGGCAGTCGTTTAGATTACTTGATTGAAAAAAAAAGATTGGCACAGCACATCCAAATGTGGTAAATCTCTATCCAAATTCCAAAGAAGTCCATCAAGTGACTCATTCTCAGTGGTAGCTGGGGCGAGATAAAAACCTAGCTTTCCTTTTAAAGGGCATACCTCAACATGTCCCAGACCATGGAACTTCCAGAAATTTCACTGAATTGTCAGGTCACTGAATTATCTTGATGCTTATCTCCCATTTTCTAACCTCTAAGGTTAGACAATTTAGATATTTTAATATGCAATTTTATTTTAGTTTCAGTATAAATATTAGGTTTCAATATCACACTTAAACAAACACCTTAAAATCATACCTGACTGTCATGTCTTCTAATGTTATTAACTCCATCATCTTCATTTCTCCAGAGAAACTGACTTAAAAGAAATGAGATTTGAAAGTCATGTTAAAAATGATTCCATGTATATTAGCCTTTCATATTTTATTTCATCTTCTATAAACAGATGTAACACTAAAATTTTTTAAAGTTAGCCTGAGATCATTATCATACTACCTTTCAATCTCTTTAATAATCAATATAAACTACACTTAGTATTTGCAATAAAATTGTGTTTCATTATATTACAGCTAAATTCAAATCATAGTCCAATGTCTTTTGCAAGGGAAATAACTGGAAAGTCTATAAACATATTTTGTTTGTGGTTCTTTTGTAAAAAATAGTTTATAAAATTCCTTATTTTTATATAATTTAAGTACTATAATTTTTTAAGTACTGATTTGAATGAAATGATAACAATGTGAAACTCAAGCATACTGATTAGTTTACCCATAACCAAGAATCAAAGAGAGGCTGAAAAATTAGTTCTAAGAAATGCAAATGAAGACAGAAAGTTTTCTGTAATTAGGTTGGCCCTGATGACAAAAGGATTACAACTGAAATAAATTTAATTTAAAATATCACTCATTTAACTCATATCTTTGTTTTAGTTAGAAATCCTTATAACAGTACTCTAGATATCTCACTCTTCTTCTTATAGTTTAGATTATGATATGTGCGCTGAATATTTATACTAATTACCTCTTTTTGGTGCTAAAATAGTCATTATTTGAATCTTCCAGTGATCCTGGCAATTCAGAATTCCTGAATTGATTTTTTAAAGTCTGGTTTTCTTTCAGAGTCTCTTTCTTCCCAGCTGATGTTAATGTTCATCCAGGGCAAACAGAGTTCATAACATATTAGAGTTTATAACATAACAAAGAAAATATTAAAATTTTGTTTTTATATGAACATATTATTATCTTGTCCTATGACTCAGAATATTCATGAAGTTTACTATACATAATAAAAGGTAACAATTTCCAAAATAAATTTTATGAGATATTTCATGAAAGTGAAAGGGGAATTCTTTGGTCAATTCAGTTTGGGAAAAATTGGTAAGTAACTCTAACAGAAACACAACCGTGTACACACACACACACACACACACACACACACACACACTCCTACTGCAAGATTTCTCTGTTTTTATGTACAATGTGAATTTTCAAGAGGGAGGTGAGTTGGGTTTTACTCAAACTTAATTGTCAAAGTGTCTTTTTTTTTTCATGTAGCATTCTGAAGAACCCTCTTTGGAAATTTCTGGTGTAGAGAGCATATATTTTCATTTGCATTTCACTTACATTTCCACTTATAATATCTCCCTTTATGTTAACAGAATTTTGAATCTGGCAGTGATTATATAGATTTTTTCCCCTTGGACAAATCAACTTTTTAATTTAGAAAAAAATAATGAGTCATATTAATATTTGAAAAGTAATTTTATAAGGACTATCACAATATTCTGCAACCTGAAAGCCTATTGGTTTAATTTTAGTCTGGCTGCTACCATTTATTTCCCAGGTGGCACTAGAATAATCATTTAAGGACAGCAAACAGAATTTTTGTAAAAAATATATTCAATGCAAAATGAACAAAAAATAGGTATGTCAGCTGTTTAAGAGCTACTGGTAAGGTACCACCCACACAATCCACTGCCCCCAAAAGAAACAATACAGAACTGATTTGATTCTGAGTGACAGTTTGATTGGTGTGGGACATGTTCCTCTTATTAGTAGTAGCAGTTTGGAGCATAATGCACTGCATTATTTTTAAAAATAGAGAGGGGGTTGATAACTGTGTTTTTGAACTGTGAAATGTTTGCCTGGAAAAGAAAAGAGTAAAGAATTTGAGCAAAGAAAATAGCATTTGCAGGATACAGAGTAGTGATATATGTAGCATTTTTGGCAATCAAGAAAAATTCTGTATAACTCTAGCACAATGTTACAAAGCATGGGCTTTTAGTCAAACCATAAGATTTCAAGTCCTGGCACTGTCATAGTAGGTATGACCTGAGGTAAGTTATTGCTCTAACTTCAGTTTCCTTATCTCTAAAATGACACAGTGCATGTAAAGCACCCTGCACAGCACGCAATCCTTAGAAGTCTCTTCAAGTTCTGATTTCTATTCCACTGCATTTCCCAATTCAGTTATTTCCTCAGTCTGTTCTCCATATGGTTGCCTAAGTTGTTTTTCTGGAACTTAAATCCAATCATGCCACTCCTGTTAAAAATTCCAGAATGCTTCCCACTGCTTACATAATTCCTTAGCTCTTTGCAAGCAAGGTTCTTAAGGTTCAAATCCCTACCTACTTCTCCAGTCGTACTTCATGGTACTTGTTCCTCCTCTTCCTACCCCTAAACTATAATAATAATGGTGCTAATAACAATAATAGCTAAAAATTATTGAAAAATTATTGAACTTATTACCTTATTGAGAAAATCCTGAAAGCTCCATTCATATCATGATCTATATGAAAGAAAGGCTTCTGGAATTAGGCAGTGACAAATCTGCACAGCCCAACATTTGTAACCCTGGGTTTGAAGTCAGAGTATGAGGGTCCTCTGTGCCACCTTAAGGAACTTGGGCTTGAAATAGTAATCAATGAGTGTTTCAAAGGTGTTTAAACAGGGGGACAGATAATCCAACTTGTAACAAGAATGATTGACAGGATCTAGAGGGTAGACTGGACAGGAAATTATAAGCAAGGGGGGTAGTTAAGACGGTTTTTAAGGTTCTTTTACCTCAGAATTATTCTACAATAAAGAAAATTTCAAAGCTTAAAGTCTGAACAACTGGAAATATGATGAAAGAAAAGAAAGGAGTCAAGAAAATATACTGCTTTGGGGGCAGTGATGGAGTCAAGTATTAAACATGTTAAAGTTATGTCAACACTGAGCCCTGGCTGGTGTGGCTCAGTGGATTGAGTACTGGCCTGAGAACCAAAGGGTCACTACTTCAACTCCCAATCTAGGGCACATGCCTGGGTTGCAGGCCAGGTCCCCAGTGAGGGGCGTAGGAGAGGCAACCACAAATTGATGCTTCTCTCTCTCTCTCCTTCTCTCCTTTCCTCTCTCTAAAATAAACAAAACCTTGAAAAAAACCCCAATCCTTACAAAATGAGAAGACATAGTACACAGACTAGCAGGAAAGGACAGAAGATAACTAATATAAGGGAATACCCATTTCAATGTGCAAAAATGAGTAAAGCAATACTGTACTCTTTTTTTTCCTTTATTAAAGGATTTATAAAACACACTGTGCATGTTATTATCAGCCATATTTGATAATATCATGATATTATTGTGAGGGCTCAGATAGTTTGAATTCTCAGGCAGTACTAAAGGACAATTTGGCAATTTTAAGAACTACACAACTATCATCAATAAATGGTAGTATATATATGGAAAAATACTAAGAAATCCTATCTCATATCACACATGAAAACTAATTCCTGGTAGACTAATTAATACAAAATCACATGAGAACAGTAAATGTCAAATGTGCCTGTGGTTAAAGAAGGTGCTAAGTTTGGAAGGTCACTGAGTATAGTGTAAACTTAGAATATAAGAATTGCTTTAATTGCAGATAGAAAACAATGCAACTGTTTAAGATCAAATGTATTTTGCAGCTGGAATGGCTGTTGTCATTAGCCTTGGCTAGGGAGATTCATTTCATTTGCAAATGTTTAGTATATTTACTTTTTCATTACCAACAGTTTATTTAGTGCATAAATTAAGGGGGAAAAATAGAGTGTAGTACCAACTTTATTTATATAAGTTTAACTTTGATTTTTTAAAATTACCTACCAGTTTTTAAGAGCTGAATTTTTAGTAAATTGATTGGTATAGTAAGATTAAAAGTTTAACATTTTTAAAAATACAAATGTCTACCAAGATTAAAATTGTTTTGCATTGGTTTAGAATACTGTTTTGCTAACTAAGAGCCTTCTGGATTTAAAATAATACCAAGATTTTATGCAGTAATCACTTCCTTCTTCTCTCATTTAGCCTTAACTTTATCTGCAACTATAATGTTATAAAAGAAGTAAAGGTGGTAGAGTTAATTTAAGCACAGTAAATGTTTTGATTTTGTTCCTATTTTAGCATAGTACTTAAATTACTTTTTTCTCCCACCTAGTGAAACTATTTTAATATCCCCAAATTGAATTGTAGCTTTCCCTTTTATGGTGCCTATATTTATAAGACTAAATTGGCTCAGAATTTCCTTACAGGCCTGAATACTAAAATATACTATAATAACCTCTTTGTCTCTCCCATTGCAGTTGAAATCACCTTTTTCCTTATTTTTGTTGAGAGGCTTGTTCAAAACATTTTCTAAAAAACTTGGATCTGTCCCAGGTTCTTCCTTTGACAGAGTTACACTAACTGGTCTGTGAATTACTTCGACAGCCTCAGCAACACCATCATCAGTCTGCCGCCCATCTAAAGAAATTGTTGATACTGAGTAAATATTTCCAAAATGATCCATTACAGGAAGCAAATATAATTCTGATTGAAGAGCCTAAAACATATAGGAAATATTAGATAATTAGAAATTTAAAAAACAGTAAGTTAAAAAATTAGCCAATAAGATAAAGTTAGCATAGATTTAAAATGTCATGTTACATACATATGGAGGAACAATTTGAATTTCAGTTCTGATTCTTGTTTTGCCTTCACCTAGAAATAAATAAATGAGAAAAAAATGAAAGCTTTTGTGAGATTTTTCAATTCTTTTTACCTCTACTTTTTTTCCCCTCAAAGGCACACACCTATGTCATAGAAATCTAACCTGAAAGCTGGTAACTAAGGCTAGATTCTAGAAAATGTAGAATATAGTCCTATTTCTATTTTCTGTACTAAACATAATAGAAATTCCTTGTTATTTAATAATAATTATGGCCATCATTTGCATGAACTTACTGTGTGCCAGGCACTATTCTAAGTGTTTTTCATAGGTTATTTCAGTTAATACTCAAGATTTCAAGTGATAGGCACACATATTGTCTATAGTTCACAGGCAAGATTGACGCAGAAACTAAATAGCTTCCCAAGATTTTATAACTAGAAAGTTTCCAAATTGGGATTCAAAACCAGGTAATCGCTCCAAAGTGCAACACTGTACTCTTTATTTCTTAAATATTTATTTGTCACCCATTCATTCAACAAATATTGAGGGCATACTATGTGTCAGGCAGTGTTATATATAGTAGGGGTACAATGGTAAACAAGGCTAAGTTCCTGCTCTTATGTAGCTTAACATTCTACTTTGGGAGAGCAGATGTTAAGTAAACATGACTTAGTATAGGGATTTGTGATAGAATAATGTAATAGAGTATGCCTTAGAGAATGAATATCTGAAAACTAGGTGGTCAGGGAAGGCCATTTTAAAAAGACGATACTTGAGCTGAGACCTGATTCATGAACAGGCAAGCTACTAGAAAATCAGGGGTGATTTCTAGGCAAGTACAACTATATTATAAATCAGAAGTGAGTTCGCTGTTGGAGACCAAAGGGAGATTTTTGTGTCTAAAGTATAGAGCCAAGTAGAAAATAATAGTATATGAAATCTGAAAATCAGCCCATTCTTTAGGAACTCCTTATCACTTGCCTAACTTTTGCAAGAGTTTCCTGATTACAACCCCTGCCTCTAGTCTCTGAAGGCTTTCATCATGTCATCTTTTGTTCAAAAAGTCCAACATTTCAAAAAAGAAATCTAAACTCATTAATCTGGCATTCAAGACATTCAACAAACTACTTTTACAATTTATCTACTATTCCCTTTCACATGATCAAAAATGAACCACTTACTCTTTCTCAGCTGCCTGCTTCTCCACTCCTGTGCTCATTCTATTTTCTCTGCTCAGAAAGCTTTTCCCACCCAACATCTTTGCAAGATCAGATATTTATCTTTTAACATCCAAAATGAACATCACTTCTTCCTTGAAGTTCTCCATCTCCCCTTTTCTCCTGCTGGAAGTAATCTCTTTTTCTTCTGAACATACAAAATATGCTATTTTATTTATTAATGTATTTTATCTTCACAACATTGAATATTCTTTAAGGGCATAATCACTATCAAATTCTTTTTTCTCACTTTATATGCAGAAAAAAATCAATAAATATTTGTTGAAAATAATAAAATATTAGAAGAATTTTAGAAGTTGACTTTAAACTACCTTTAAGATCCCTTCCAACCTAGGATTCTGCGCTTAATATTTTATAACTTTAATATCATGAAAAAACTTATGAGAGTTATTATTCATTTTTTTCCTCATTTGAGGAAAACTAACCTAAAAATCAGTAATTTAATATCCTGGCAGATTAAGTACAACTCTGATGACAAAAAACATCAAATCTAGCTGTTGATTCTAAAAATTCCACATAGCAAATTCCTCTACAGTCCTACTTTGAGGGAAAATGTTTACTTTTTCCATTAAGAGTCATAACTTAATTTGTTCAATTAACATTTAAATGTCTCTTGTTAGGTACTGATTATAAATATAATAATGAATAAAACAAACTCCCTCCTCATAGGGAACTAGAGTCTAATGACAGAGTTAAATGTTAAACAAATAATCACATTAATAAATATAAAACAATATATATTATGTCAACTAGAGTGGAATAGGAATATACTGAACATTTACATATGAAAAATCTTGACTAAACAAATAAACCTTATGTACATATGAGAAACCACAAAATTTAAGATCTGATGGATTCCTGGATTGAGAATTTCAGCTAGGAAGCTCTCTGCTTAGAAAATCCTGGAACTAAATAATAGAAACTACAAATAGGAGCAATCAGTAGATAATAATAGCTGATACAAAAAAAAGATACGTAGGAGTTATATCATTTCACACCAACCAAGGCTAGTTGTGGCACATGCAATGAGAACCCATTTTTCTTTAGAACACATGTACTTGCTTAAAAAGCATTTAAACACTATCATTTAAATCTAAAGATATGGCCCTGACTGGTGTGGCTCAGTGGATTAGGCATAGTCCCACAAACCAAAAGGTCACCAGTTGGGTTCCTGCCTGGGTTGTAGGCCAGGTCCCTGGTTGGAGGTGTGCAAAGGGCAACATATTGATGTGTCTCTTCCTCTCTTTCTTTCCCTCTCTTTCTTCCTCCCTTCCACTCTCTTTAAAAATAAATAAATTAAAAAATACATTTTACTTATATGATTACATTTTAAATTTGTCTTCATGTTCTTCCCAGGGAAATTTGCACATAAAAAAATACCCTCTTCATTTTAGTGCCTAATAATATGCCAATAACATCCATGTGTTCTTGATGATTTTAGTGATACTTTCATTTCATTGTGATTGTGTAGTTAAGGAGCTGAGTTGATTAGCATTTAAAAAATATTATTTGTTAAGATATACTTTTCTTTAATCAAAAGGAAACAAAATTTTAAAATTTACCACAGCTAGATTATTTCCAATGTATTCAGAAATAAAAATTTTTCTGCAACAGCATCTTCACCAAGGAATTCACCAAGACACTCCCTCAGGGCTTGTCTTATAAGTAAAGTGAGGAGATACTCTGAAATATCATGACATTGCCTTATAATGTAAAACAAAGTAAGTTTCAGCTGTATTAAAGATTGATAACTTGCCCTGGCTGGGTGCTTCAGTTGGCTGGAGCATCATCTCATGCACCAAAAGGTTTCAGGTTAATTCCCAGTGATGGCCCAAACCTAGGTTGCAGGTTTGATCCCCAGTTGGAGCACATGTACAGGAGGCAACCGATCAATGCTTCCCTCACTTCGATGTTTCTCTCTTTCTGTCCCCTCCTCTCTCTCTAAAATCAATTTTTTTAAAATATCCTCAGGTAGCCCTGGCTGGTGTAGCTCAGTGGATTGAGCGTGGGCTGTGAACCCAAATGTCGCAGGTTCGATTCCCAGTCAGGGTACATGCCTGGGTTGCAGGCCATGGCCCCCAGCAACCGCACATTGATGTTTCTCTCTCTCTCTCTCTCTTTCTCCCTCCCTTTCCTCTCTAAAAATAAATAAATAAAGTCTTAAAAATAAATACATTAATTAATTAAAAAAATATCCTCAGGTGAGAATTAAAAAAAATTGGTAAATTTATGTAGCTATCTCAAACACAAATACTAATTAAATGTATCACATATATCTGAATATATAATTTCTATGTTCCTTGGCACTTCATAGGCCTTTTAAGGTATTTTTAAAATTTTATTTATTTTTTATAGAAGGAGTGTAATGGGGAGGGGATGAAGAGAGACATAGAGAGAAAGAGATTGATTTGTTATATTCATTGATTGCTTCTTCTATGTGCCCTTCTACGTGACCAGAGATCGAACCCACAGCCTTGGCATATCTGATGAACTGAACTAACCAACTGAACTAGTTGGCCAGAGCTATAAATATTTTGAAAATATATGATTAAAAGTCTGCCTTTTTAAATTGTGCAAATGAACACTTAATTAAAAGCCCTTTTTAAAAAATCCTCACCTAAAAATATGTTTTTTTATTGATTTTAGAGAGAGGGGAAGAGGGAAGAGGAGTAAGGGAGACAGAGAGCCCAAAACATCCATGTGAGAGAGAAACATCAATTGGTTGCCTCCCATCCATGCCCCAACCAGGGATTGAACCTGCAACATTTTGGTGTATAGGATGGCACTCCAACCAAGGGGACCACGCTCCAATTAACTGAGCCATCTGACCAGGGCAAAACTTTTTTGTACTAAAAGAAAAATGCAGAGCAGAAGATGGTGGTGAGATAGGTGGGAGCTGAACCCACTTGCTCTTGCACCCAACTAGGACACCTAGCCGATCTTCCAAAGAACAGAGTGAACAGCCAATAGAATTCCAGCTGATATGAAGTTTGAAGCCAAAGGTTGCCAAGGACATCTAAAAGCAGATGTGTAAGATGATAAGATGTAGAGCTGTGAGAAGACCAAAGACAGATCCAGAAAGAAGTCAGACGGCTAACACCAATAGCTGAGACAAATTTCACTTCGCTAGCCCTCAGAACTTGCATTTTATTTTATTTTTTTGTTTTTATTTTTTTAATTTCTTTTTTCCATTTTTTGTTGTTTGTTTGTTTGATTCCATTGATCAGTTTTCTTTATTCTCCCTCTCATATTGCAGTTTAATTTTTCTTCTTTCACTTCACTTGTATTCCAATAACACACTACTCTTGGTCTTTTACTTTTTATTCTTTTTATTCAGATGATATGTTCTTTAACATATTATTGTTATTCCAAACCCCACACACCACCCTTCCCTGGTCTTAATCCATTTTGCCATCTTTCTGAGCTTTATTATTGTTGTGGTTAACTTTATTCTCTCACACACTATGCCAAGTTTCTATCCCTTACTCTCTATCTCACCATCTAACCACACATAAGTGTTCTGCTTTCCAAAGTCAGCTCACATTCTTTTTCCCTTCTAATATGAGTGTTATTTATTTTCCACCTTTTATAAAAAGTGGCTAGTTGGGTGAAGTATCATGGTTATTGCTGTACTTCTCCAAAGGATTTCCTATCTGTTCTCTACTTATTAGTATTTTAAATCCCATAGAATACTCTCCTGCTATCTCACTCCATTTTGCCTTCTCCATGCCCCCAATCACATACAAGACAAGATGGGAGTTGTGAGTAGCAGCAAACCTGCTGGAGGAGAGGACCCACCAACAAAGGAGCCACTAACAGGTACAGCCCAAGTACAATAAGAGAGCCCATACAAATGGAAGAAAGGGCAACCCTAGAGCATCAAAACAAGGAGAAAATGACACTGTAGCACTGAATCCCATACAATTCCTACCACAGAAGTTCATCCTACGAAGATAGCTGGCAAAGCAGAGCCTCAAGGATCACAGAAACAAACAAAAAGAGTCACCTAAAATGGGGAGAAAAAGAAAGAAACCACAATCAAAAGGAATGGAAGACTCCCCAGTAAAAGAGCTAAATGAAATGGAGGCTAGCAAACTATCAGATACAGAATTTAAAAGAATGATTATAAAGATGCTCAAGGAACTCATACACAACTACAAGGAACTGAGTGGGAACTACAACAGTATGAAAAGGAAACAGAAAATATACACAAGAATCAGGAAGAAATGAATAATACAATATCCAAAATAAAAAAACACACATACACACTAGAAGGAATTACAAGCAGGCTGGATGAAGCAGAGGACAGAATTAATGAGCTGGAAGACAAGGTAGAAAGAAATACCCACATAGAGCAGTTGCATGAAAAAGACTCAAAAAGAATGAAGGGTTATGGGAACTACAGGACAACATGAAACGCAGCAACATTTGAATCATAGGAATACCGGGAGAACAAAAGGAACAAGGGATAGAAACCCTGTTTGAAAAAAATAATGACAAAAACCTTTCTGAACCTGGAGAGGGAAAGAGCCACTCAAGTTCAGGAAACACAGAGGGTCCCAATCAAGATGAACCCAAAGAGGCCCACTCCAAGACACATCATAATTAAAATGCCAAGTTTTGAAGACAAAGAGAAAATCTTAAAAGCAGCAAGGGAGAAACAAGGATTAACATACAAGAGAGCTCCGATAAGGCTAGCAGCTGATTTCTCAACAGAAACGCTTCATGCCAGATGGGAATGGCAAGAGGTATTTTAAGTAATGAAAACCAAAGGCCTGCAACCAAGACTACACTATCCAGCAAGGCTCTCAGTTAAAATGGAAGACCAAATAAGGAGTTTTCCAGACAAAAGTAGACTGAAAGAATACACCTCCATCAAACTAGCACTGTAAGATATGTTAAAGGGATTGCTTTAAGAAGAGGAAGAAAAAGAGTGAGAGAGAAAGGATATAGGTACAAAGGGGGAAAATAGCAATAGCAATGAATAAGTACCTATCAGTAATAACCTTAATGTTAATGGATTAAATGCTCCAATCAAAAGACACAGGGCAGCTGAATGGATAAGAAAACATGACCTGCACATATGCTGCCTACAAGAAACCTGCCTCAGAAAAAAAGACCTACACAGACTGAAAGTAAAGGATTGGAAAAAAATACCCCAAGCAAATGGGCAGGAAAAGAAAGTTGGTGTAGCAATACTTATATCAGAAAAAAGAGATTTCAAAACAAAGGCATAAAAAGACACATGGAAGCACACTTCCTAATACTCAAGGGAAGAATTTATCAAGAACACACAAGCATTATAAACATATATGCACCCAACATAGGAGCACCCGATTATGTAAGAAAAATCTTGCAGGACTTCAAGAGATATATAGATAGCAACACACTTATACAGGGGATTTCAACACCCCACTGTCAAAAATGTGATTTTAACACCCCACACTTATACAGGGGATTTTAACACCCCAATAAAAATGGAAGGATCTTCCAAGCAAAATATCAACAAGGATACTGTGGCACTGAACAATGCCCCAGATCAAATGGACTTAACTGATATAAATAGAACCTTTCATCCAAAAGAAACAAGATACAAATTCTTTTCAAATGCACATGGAACATTTTCAAAGTTGGACCACATGATAGGATAGGATATAAAACAAGCCTTAAAACATCCAAGAAAATTGAAATCATATCAAGCATTTTCTCAGACTACAAGGGCCTGAAACTAAAAACCAACCTCAAGGAAAAAACTCAAAAACACTGAAATTCATGGAGATTGAATAGCATGCTATCCAACAATGAATGGGTTAATAATGAGATCAAGGAAGAAATTAAAAACCTTCTGGAAACAAATGAAAATAAACACCCAACAATCTAAAACTTATGGGACACAGCCAAGGAAGTCATGAGGGGAGAGTTCATAGTGATAGAGGCTTACCTAAAAAAGATGGAAACATTTCAAATAAACAACCTAACCCTATACCTACAAGAACTGCAGGAACAAGAACAAACAAAGCCCAGAGCAAGTAGAAGGAAGGAAATAACCAATATCAGAGCAGAATTAAAAGACATAGAGACTAAAAGAACAATTCAAAGGATCAATGAATCCAAGAGTGGTTCTTTGAAAAGATTTATAAACAAAATTTATAAGCCTTTAAGCAAACTCATCAAGAAAAAAGAGAGAGATTAAAATAAATAAATAAATAAATAAAATCAGAAATGAAAGAAGAGAGATTACAACTGATACCACAGAAATACAAAGGGTTGCAAGAAATTACTATGAACAAATATATGCCAAGAAATGTGAAAACCTGAGGAAATGGACAACTTTTTAGAAAAATAGAATCCTCCAAAACTGAATCAAGAAGGAGGAAGCCTGAACAGATCAGTAACAGCTGGTGAAATTGAAGCAGTAATCAAAAAACACCTGGCACTCAAATGCCCTGGACTGGATGGTTTCACAGGAGACTTTTACAAAACATTAAGGAAGAGATAACCCGTATCCTTCTCAGACTATTCCAAAAAATCCAAAATGATGGAAGACTCCCAAATTCTTTGTATGAAGCCAGCATCATCCTAATCCCAAAACTAGATAAAGACACAACAAAGAAAGAAAACTTCAGGCCAATATTGTTGATGAACACAGAGGCTAAAATTCTCAACAAAATATTGGCAAATTGCAACCAGCAATACATTACAGAGTTCATACACCATGATCAAGTGGGATTCATCGCAGGGAATGCTAGGATGATACAATGTTTGCAAATCAAAAAATGTAATACATCACATAAACAAAAGGAAAGACAAGAATCACATGATCTTATCAATAGATGTGGAAAAAGCATTTTGTAAGGTACAACACCCATTTATGATAAAAAACACTCAGCAAAGTGGGAGGCAGCATACCTCAACATAATAAATGCCATATATGAGAAACCTACAGCCAACATCATACACAACAGGCAAAAACTAAAAGCTTTCCCACTAAGATCAGGAACAAGACAAGAATGTCCACTTTTACCACTTCCATCCAACATACTATTGGAAGTTCTAGCCTCAGCGATCAGACAAGAAAAAGAAATAAAAGGCATCCAAATTGGAAAGAAAGAATTAAAACATTCTTTGCCGATGACATGATAGCGTACACAGAAAACCCCATAGGCTCCACCAAAAAAAACTACCTGAACTAATAAGTGATTTTGGCAAAACAGCGGGATACAAAGTCAATATTCAGAAATTGAAGGCATTTTTGTATACCAACAAAGGAATATTAGAAACAGGAATCGGGGGGAAAATCCCATTTGCTATAGCAACAAGAAAAATAAAGTACCTGGGAATAAACTTAAATAAGGAGGTAAAAGACTTGTACTCAGAAAGCTACACAACTCTGAAGAAAGAAACTAAGGAAGATAGAAGTAAATGGAAGCATATACCATGTTCATGGATTGGAAGAATTATCATCAGAATGTCCATACTACCCAAAGCAGTTTATAGATTCAATGTAATCCCTATTAAAATACCAATGACATATTTCACAGATATAGAACAAATATTTCAAAAATTTATATGGAACCATAAGTGACCCCATAGCCTCAGCGATTCCTCAGCGAGAAAGAGGAACAAAATAGGAGGGATCACAATACCTGATATCAAACTGTATTACAAGGCCATGGTAATCAAAACAATCTGGTACTGGCATAAGAACAGACACATACATCAATGGAACATAATAGAGAACCCAAAAATAAACCCAAGTGTCTATGGTTAATTAATATCCAACAAAGAGGACAAAAGCATAAAATGGAGTAAAAATAGCCTCTTCAACAAATGGTGTTGGGAGATCTGGACAGCTACATGCAAAAAAAATGAAACTTGACCACCAACTTACACCATACACAAAAATAAACTCAAGGTGGATAAAAGACTTGAATGTAAGTCATGACACCATATAAGTCCTAGAGGAGAGCACAGGCAGGAAAATCTCAGATAGTTCATGCAGAAATATTTTCATCGCTATGTCCCCTAGAACAAGGGACATAAATGAAAGAATAAACAAATGGGATTTCATCAAAATAAAAATTCTGCATGGCTAAAGAAAATATCAGCAAAATGAAAAGGGAAACAACCATATGGAAAAATATATTTGCAAATCACACCTTGGACAAGGGTCTGATCTCTAAAATATATAAAGAACTCACATGACTTCATTCTAGGAATATAAACAACCCAATTAAAAAAATAGGCAAAAGACCTGAACAGACACTTCTCCAAGGAGGATACAGAGGGCCCAGAGACATATGAAAGGATGCTCAGCATCACTAGCCATCAGAAAGATGCAAATTTAAACCACAATGAATTACCACTTCATACCAGTGGGAATGGCTATCATAACCAAATCAACAAACAACAAGTGCAGGTTAGGTTGTGGAGTAAAGGGAACCCCAGTACACTGTTGGTGGGAATGCAGACTGGTGCAGCCACTGTGGAAAACTATGGAATTTCCTCTGAAAACTAAAAATGGAATTGCCTTTTGACCTAGCAATTCCACTTCTGGGATTATATTCTAAAAATCTTGAAATGCCAATTGAAAAGAACCTATGCACCCCAATGTTCATAGCAGCACAATTTACAATAGCCAAGTGTGGGAAGCAACCTAAGTACCCATCAGTAAATGAATCAATAAAAAAAATGGTACATTTACACAATGAAATACTATGCAGTAGAAAGAAAGAAGGAGCCCCTACCCTTCAAGACAGCATGGATGGATCTGGAGAGCATTATGCTAAAGGAAATAAGCTAGGTGGTAAAAGACAAATACCATATCATCTCACCTATAAGTGGAACATAATCAACCAACCAAACAAACAAGCAAAATATAACTGGAGTCATTGAAATAAAGAACAAACTGACAGTAACCAGAGGGGAGGGAGGAGAGGGATAATGGGGGAAAATAGAGGAAGGTTCATCAAGGAACATTTATAAAGGACACATAGACAAAGCAAAAGCAGGTAGGATTGAGGGTGGTAGGTGGGGATGGGTGGGGCAGGGGGAAGTAGTTGGGGGAAAATAGAGACAACTGTACTTGAGTAACAATGAAAAAAAAAAGGAAAAATGCCTGTGTACTTTTATTAACTACCCCAATTTTATTGTTAAAATAAAATTTTGCTATTTATATTTATTTAATTTTTTTAGAAAGAGGGTAAGGGAGGGAGACCGAGGAAAGAAACATACATTGGTTTTCTCTCACACACCTCCAACCAGGACCTGGTCAGTAATCCAGACATGTGCCCTGGCTGGGAATCCCAACAATATCTTTTTGGTTCATAGAGAGGCACTCAACCCACTGAACCACATCAACCAGGAGGAAACTGCTTTTTATGTCCTTTTATACATATATTAAAGAATGATTTAGCTAAAGGTATATATTTTGAAAGTTTGATAGGACTAACTAGGGATTAAAAATTTCTTTGATGCTCAAATATTGTCAGGCTCCACACAGCTTTGTTTATTTAGGGATACTTCATTCCTCAACATCTAAAATATAAAGCCATCATTTATGCTATTTGTTTTGAGTTCCTTTTTTTTTGGATACCATTAGAAACATTATATAATTAATTATTCAAACAATAAATATTTATTGAGCACATATTAAGTGTTAGGTATTTTTCTAAGCAATAGGAATATGATAATCAACAAAACAGACAAAAATCTCTATCCTTATAGACTTTACAATCTAGTGGTATGATAGAAAAATTAGCAACATATAAAAAATACAATTCATAAGACACTGCTAAGTACTATAGAGGAAAATAAAACAGGGAAGACAGTTTAAATTACAGTGATCAGAAAAGATCTAAACAAAAGATAATACTTGAGTAAAGACCTGAAGGAGATGAGATAGCATATGCAAAGGGAGAAAGAGCATTCTGGACAAAAGGAACAAGTACAAAGGTCCTGAGGAGTCTCCATGTCTTGCGTGTTCCAGAACAGAAAGGAGGCTAGTGTACTTGAAAAAAGTGGTGGGGAAGACTGAGGTACACACAAGAGAAATAAGAACAAGCAGTCAGATCACGTAATGTAATGTGTGTGTCTGTGAATGTGAATGTACATATATATGTACATATAAGGGTACATACATATATAAATATACTGTTTCTATTTTAAACACTTCAGTGAAACGTCATTGTTGATATACTAGTTTAGCCCCTATTCATAGCTCTTCAAAAGGTTTCTAATTTCAGATAATTTCTCTCTTAATTATCTTTGTGTATAACAATAGTAATGCAGATTATACCCTGTTTTTTGGGTTGCAGAACTATGTCTAAGTGACATCTGTTCCTGTAGAATTTTTTGATTTAACTGTTATATAGCACTAGTTATTGATAGTATTCATTAAGTTAAGAACTGGATCCATCACATGGACAAGATATTTTTCACTTACAACTTTAAATTTCCAGAAAGCATTTTTTTCTGTAGAAAAAAAGATTGCTGTTTCAGGAATGTTGTAACATGACTACAAAAATACTCACCTTAGAAATCCAGCTGAAATGAATTTGTCAACAACTTCTACTAAAATTGTGTTTAGCTTATAGTTCCAAGATCCCTCAGGGGCATAAAACACATGAAGTTCCAAGAACTAAATACAGTGAGAAGAACATCAGCTATGATGTTTTTCAGCTTGATGTTTTTCAAGAACATCAGCTTGAAAAAAATATTTTTCAAGTGAAAAAACCTCAACTGATGTCCTCTAAATTTTAAATTTAATAAACATAATTGAAATGAAGATGTACTACATTCATCCTTCTGAATAAACACAAACTGAAGAGCAAAAATTTGTTAAGTTGGCTACTTGGATCACATTTTCCTTTTGAAACAAGGTCACAGATGTGGTCCTAGATTACCCTAATCTCTCTGACATACAGTGTACTTTCTGTGGCTTGCAGTAAGCATACTAGACTACCAAGGTCAGTTTTCTTACTACCAACATTCCCTGCTTCCCCAATTTCCTAACTACTTAGTTCCATTGGGGTGACCTTGTGGACTCCTTATCATTTATGTATTGTTCTCATAGCGCAGTGTGAGGCTTGCTAGTTCTCAGCACCTACAAAAGGGTGTTTTACTGTGGTTTAGGGGATATTTTGGTTTCCAAGAATTCCAGGAAGAATCTGTTCCTGACCAGTGATGGGGAAAGGCATGGTTATTGTTAAATAGAGCATGACTATAAGCTTAGCTTCTCCGTACTTACATATACTATCTTCTTTTGTATTAAAGTTACATTATGACTTCAATTAAATTTATCTATTTAGAAGAACACTTAGATTACTACATATTAAAAGTCAAAGCATTTAAACAATCATTCTCTACAATATTAAATATCTGAAAAAGCTAACATTTTGGAGTAATAATGACACAAAATGTTAGTAATTTTTTATTTATTCATTTTAGAGAAAGAGAGAGGAAGGTGGACATAGAGAGAAACATCGATTTGTTGTTCCACTTATTTATGTATTCATTGGTTGATTCTTGTATGCGCCCTGACCAGGGATTGAACCCACAATCTTGGTGTATCAGGGCAACATTCTAACCAACTGAGTTACTTAGCCAGTTGGCTAATCAAAGATAAAAATGTGTCTTGAACTGAATGTTTTGCTCAAGCTATTTTCATAGACCAAGTAATTTACTTCCCCATTTTTTATGACAGAATATTAACCAAGAATTAAAAATGTCTCTACAGCTCTGATAGTTAAGTATGCCATATGCTACATGGTATTTTGAACACCAGAGTATTTAAATATTATTCCAACCTTGGCCAGGAGAATCAGTTGGTTGGAGCCTCATTCCTTATAACAAAATATTGTGGGTTCAATCCCCAGGTCAGGGCCCATACCTAGGTTGAGATTCAATCCCTGTTTGGGTCACATACAGGAGGCAACTGATCGATGTTTGTCTCTCTCCCCCTCCCCCACTTCCTCTCTCTCTAAAAGCAATAAATATGTACTTAGATAAGAAATTTAAAAAAGATTATTCCCTAGCTATGCTCTATTGTTAATAGCTAATACTACATTATACTATTATTTCCCTAACATTTAATAGCTATTAAATATTTGCAAAACTTTCAAAAGTCTGAAGTAAATATGACCTTACCTTTTATAAAAACATATTAATATTTTATAGAAGAAAAAGTATCTCTGGAAATAAGCATTTTACTCTATTTGCTTTTATAAACCAAATAAATTACTTCAACATTATTATAACAATTCATGAACTAAAATTCAGGGATTTGTATAGATTTTAATTCCATAATTGAATAGGCAATACAAGAAAAAATACAGCTAATAAAACATTTCTTAGCCATTGAAACATTTTGTGATGTAAATTTACTTATGGTGAATTTATGTTTATTCACTTATTCAACAAATATTTATTAGTGCCTACTATGTGTTAGCACAATTCTAGACACTAGGGATATGTACTGAATAAATCAAATATCCTTCCCTACAACACAGCTTACACTCTAATGAGGTACCAGGATAAGAATAAGGGTGGTAAAGGGTAAATGGGGTCAAATATGGTGACAAAAGAAGATCTGACTTTGGGTGGTAGGCACACAATACAATGTACAGATGATATATCATAGAATTAGATGCTTAAAACTTATATAATTTTATTTACCAATTTTACCCCAATAAATTTAATTTTTAAAAATCCAAAAATAAATATTCATTTTGAGCAAATCCTCATATTTAGCACATAGATTGACTTAGTGTGTATTACTAAACATTTTAAATTATATTAGAAGCAAGCTAGAAAGCTAGGAAATAAAAAGGTACTTTTTCTTCACATACCGAGTAGCAGCCTGGTTGACGATGGGGAAGGAAGAGGAGGAGGAGCAAAAGGAGGAGGAGGAGGAGGAGGAAAAGAAGAACAGGAACAGTGAGGCAAGTGAGGTGCTACCCTCAGGTGCAAAATCTAAGAGGGCATCAAAAGCTCAGTAATTAAGGTAAATATTTTTAAAAATCTATTAAATGCAAAAAAAATCATCATAAATAAAATATCAAAAACTTAAAGTACTATTAGAGCCTGAGGAATAAGGAAAAATATGGACCCCAATATACATATTTCTTTTTTCTACATTTGGTTTATTTTTATTTTTTAATATATTTTATTGATTATACTAACACAGCTTTTCCAGTTTTTTCCCCCTTGGCCCCCTCCACCCCGTATCACCCATTCCCTCTGGTAATCCTCCAGCCCCCCTTAGTTCATGTCCATGGGTCATACATATAAGTACTTTGGCTACTCCATTCCTATCCTGTTCTTAACATCTCTGTTTATTCTGGACCTACCAATTTGTACTTCTTAATCCCTGTACTTTTTCCTCAATTCTCTCCCTTCCCCCTCCCAACTGATGACCCTCTAAATGACCTCCATATTTATGATTCTGTTTCTGTTCTGTTTGCTTGCTTAGTTTTTTAGACCCAATTGCTGATAGTTGTGAATTTATTGCCATTTTAATGTTCATAGTTTTGATCTTCTTCTTTTTCTTAAATAGGTCCCTTTAACATTTCCTATAATAATGGCTTGGTGATGATGAACTCCTTTAGCTTTATCTTGTCTGGAAAGCACTTTATCAGCCCTTCAATTCTAAATGACAGCTTTGCTGGAATGAACAATCTAGATTGTAGGTTCTTCTTTTCATCACTTTGAATACTTCTTGCCAATCCCTTCTAGCCTGCAAAGTTTCTTTTGAGAAATCAGTTAACAGTCCTAACAGTCTAACGGGAACTTCATTGTAGGTAACTCTCCTTTTCTCTTGCTGCTTTTAAGATTCTTTATCTTTAACCTTTGGCATTTTAATTATGATGTGTCCTGGTGTGGTACTCTTTGTGTCCATCTTGTTTGGGACTCTCTGTGCTTCCTGGTCTCTGGAGTTTTATCCATGAGGAAGCTGTCCGCTGGTACTTGCCCTGATGCCAGACACTTCAGTTTCTCCCTGTGTGCCTGTGTGCCCTTCCACCTGCTGCCCTGCTGCTGGAGTCTAGAGGGAGTGAGTCTGCATAAGTCCTAAGTCCGTTGCGGGACATTTAAGAGGAACCTGACAGCTTTTTTCTGCTGCTCCAATACCTACTGGTTTTCACAGCCAGAAGTTAGGGGGACTTACCTTCCTGGCACTTGAACCACGGGCAGGATGATCTGGTATGGGGCTGAGACCCATTGCTCCTGAAGTATCCCTCCCAATTGTTATTTGCCACACAAATAACAATGGGTGTGGGACTGCCCATATTTCTAAAAAAATGCATTTTTTAATGGTTAACTTTTTGCAGGACAACAAACTAACTGAAAAAATGTTGAACATTGTAAAAGTACATATTAAAACTCATAACATTATTTTAGGTTAACTCTTCTGTTTATATCAAACATAAATTTATTATAATTTCACTCTTCTTTTTTTCTTTATTCTTACTTTCCTTGTTTTAATGGAAGCAAACTCATCAATAATAACTTCATAAAACTATTAATCACTTAAAATACTGGAAAAGTTATATATATATAGGGGCACATATTTTGTCTTTTTTCTTGGGCCCTAAAGTGGCTAGGCATGGTACTATCAAAAATGTTGATATCTTGTTCATTATGGATTTTTGGCATTAATATTTCATTTTTGAAATCTTGTATTACAATATCTTACTGAATTTTTGGTGACCCCCTTAAAGTTTTCACACAAGGCAAAAATTGATCCATTATACAGTACATTAGAAAGTGATAAGTTTCTAATAAAGAAACTTTATTAGATAAAATAGTCCAGATAGTTCTCAGAGAAAAGGTGAGTGCTGAGTAAAAACTTGCAGGTGAAGAAGGAATTAGCCAAGGGAAGATATATGGAAGGGAAGATCTCTGGGAAGATCTCCAGGAAGAACTAAAACAAAGGCATCAAGGTGAGAGAATTGTAGTACTAGTATAATTGAAGTAGACAGTGCAGAGGAAAGAGTAGTAGAAGATAAAGTAAGAAAAATGGGGAGGATGAGGAACAAATTATATAAGGCCTTCCAGGACATTGTTAGATCCTCATCTTACAAAATGGGAAGCCAATACAGGGTTTTAAAAGAAGCATGAAAACATCTGACATATTTTTATTGTTTTAATATAGAAAATTCTAAATATACTTACAAATAAAAGGAATAATACTAGGGATGTCCAAATATCTACTATTTAGATTCAAAAGTTAACACTGGGCCACATTTACTTCCTCTCTCTCAGCCACTCAAAGTAAATCAGACATCAAGACCACCTACTCCTAAATACTTTGGCATCCATCTCCTAAAAATAAGCATTTCTACAACATGATCACAATACCATTTTCACATCTAAGAAACATAACAATTACTAAATGTCAACTAATATCTAGTCCATATTCAAATTTCCAATTGTCCTCAAAATTTTTTTTGGATCTAGGATTCAAACAGAACACACTGCATTTGTCAAGTTTTTTAAAAATCTTAACCTGGAAGACTTTTCCCGAAGGCTTTTTTTTCTCCTTATAGCTTTGACTTTTTAAAGACACTAGGGGTGTTTTCTTACAGCTTCTTCTGCATTATGAATTTACTTTATAAAATCCTTATGGGCCAAGAATACTTTATAAATGATGCCCTGTATGTATTTATTTATTTTATTTTATTTTACTTTCTTTCCTTCCTTCCTTTCTTTCTTTCTTTTCTTTCTTTCTTTCCTTCTTTCCTCTCTCTCTCTCTCTCTCTCTCTCTCTCTCTCTCTCTCTCTCGCTTTTCTTTTCTTTTTTCTTCCTTTCCCCTTTCCTTTCCTTTCTCCTTTAATTTCCCTTTTTCTTCCTTTTTTATCCCCACCTGAGGACATTTTTTCATTGATTTTAGAGAGAGAGGAAGGAAGGGTCAGAAACATTGATGCAAGAGAGAAGCATCCACTGGGCTTCTCTTAGGTTACCTCTTCAGGAGACCCATTGCTCCTGAAGTATCCCTCCCAATTGTTATCTGCCACACATGGGTGTGAGACTACCCACATTTCTAAAAAATGCAGTTTTTAATGGTTAACTTTTTGCAGAACAACAAACTAACTGAAAAAATGTCGAACATTTTAAAAGTACATATTAAAACTCATAACATTATTTTAGGTTAACTCTTCTGTTTTTAACAAACACAAATTTGCAACTGGACTGAAGATTGAACCCGCAACATAGGCATGGTCCTGACTGGAAATCCAGCCCTCATCCTTTTAGTTATGGGATGACACGCCAACCAACTGAGCCACAATGGCCAGGGTTGGTGCCCTGTATTTCATATTTCTTCACATAAGGACACACATAATACGGTACTTCCAAATCTTGCTATATTTAATAATGACTAAAGGGACAACAGAACCACCTTTAAGGGACAAGAAAATGGAAACTGTTATGAAGCTATTTGAATAAAGTGTGAGATGATGTTGGCTCAGTCCAAAATGTTAGGAGTAGACGTGATGAGAAGTGGCCAGATTTTGAACATAATATAAAGCTAGAAGTCAATCCTTTAGAAGTGAAGTTTAAGAAAGGAATCAAGTATGATTCCAAGGTATTTGGCTTCAAATACAAAAAGGCTGGAATAGCCATCAGCTAAGATAGGGAAAGGGTTTTGGTAACAGAGGTTTTAGGATGGGGCAAAGATCCATAGGTCAATTTCACAAATGTTAAGTTTCAGATGTCTATTGGTCATCCAAGCAGAGATGTAAATAGGCAACTGAAAATATGAACATGGGGTTTGGGAAAGAGGACTAGGATAGAAACTTAATTTTGGAATCCTTAGCATAAAGTTAGTATTTAAAGTTATTGGGCTAGATGAGATAACCAAGGACTAGTGCACATAGAGAAGAGAACAAAGATCTGACCCCTGAAATTTTCCTATATTAAGAGATCAGGAAGAAAAAGAAGACTGAGCAAAAAAAAGACTGAGAATGAATAACAAAAAAGGGAGGAGGAAAAGCAAGATAATGTGTATATTAAAAGCCGAAAGAAGGAATTACGTTAAGGAAGAATGAGTGATCAACAGTGTCAACTGCTGTGCACAGATAGATCAAGTATGCAGGGGACAAGAATTAAGCAGTAGATTTAGTAATGTAGAGGTGAATTTAAAAACAGCGGTTTTGGTGGAGTATTGGAGTAAATGGTTGGAGTTGTTTTAAAGGCAAAACAGGGCAAAGCTATGAAATAGTTGTCTAGAACAGTGAAAGACTGAATGAGTGAGTAGAAGAGAGTCTGGTTGCAAAAGGCTCCAGTGGAGGTTCATGGTCATGAATTTAAAGTGAGAATAGTCCTTAAGCTGGTATATTTTTCTCCAGCCATGTTCTGCTATAGCCATAGGTGTAGAATTAGATTAACCAGGGTTTTGTGTTGCCAAGGAGTAAAATGAAAAGAAAGAGGAGCAAGGAGTCAAAAGCATTGGCAAGATAGTGATCAACCCTGTCCTATGGTATTTAAGCCAGTTAAGGAGGGCATCACAAGGTAGGAATAAAAACAAACAAACAACAACCAAATAGGTGACTGGAGTTCCCAGTACAATAGGGGTATTTAGAGGAAGTGCGCTAGAGATCAGACAATGGAATACATGGAGTTGGATTCAAAGTGAAGTTAATATCTAATATTTTATGTAATCCATATTTTTGCTTTGCCAAAATTTTTCAAAAATAGGGTTTTCTTATATTTTAGTAGTATAAAACATTTTCTTACCTCTGATGAGGTAGGAAGGTCGACTTGGATTGAGGGACAAATTTGCCAATGTCTGAATGGGGTAATTATCAGCTGGAATTTTGTGGGTGTTTTTACTGTTCCTCATTTAAGTAATATAAAGGTCATCACAGATTTTTGACTTGTTTAAGATAGTATTCCACTCATTTCTGGTCCCTGATTCATTCAAAAAGTGAAAAAAAATGCATAAAAGGCTTTAAAATAAGGTCAAATGACAACTCAGGTATGTATACAATCTTATTATAATTCATATAGACATATTACTAATAAATATGGCTAATAATTGCAATACAATTACCATACATCCTATACAACTAAATAAAGTGGTAACTTATATTATGATAGACTTGTGACCAGATACATTTTAAATAATTCATTTTCTGTTGGTCAGGAATGAAGATAAATACATATAGTATCTTCTATAAAATAGAAATATACTTTTGGAAGTGAGAAGACTAAATTTATACAAATTGCTGTAAAATGATAAAAACTGTTTCACCATATGTATTTCTTCCCGGCCTTGTATATCTCAATAATAAATGTTAATGATCATTCCAGATGAAAATGCTACTCTTTAAGTATACCAGGCTATATTTTTGTATTATTTCCTGTGTTTTTCCTCAGAGAATTTATAACTTACAAGAATACACAATAAAATTTAAAATGTATAATAAAAATTAAAAATTAGGTAGCTGAAAAGTATTTATCAAAGTTGGAAATCCTTAAGAATATATACATTATCTTATATTTCTGCTCCCTATGTCAAATATTAATTGACCATAGAGACTTGGATTTATTTCTGGGCTTTCTATTCTGTTCTATTGATCTATGTGTCTGTTCTTATGCCAGTACCAAACTTTTGATTACTGTGGTACCCTAATGTTCATAGCAGCACAATTCACAATAGCCAAGTGTTGGAAGCATCCTAAGTGCTCATCAGTAAATGAATGGATCAAAAACTATGGTACATTTACACAATGGAATACTTTGCAGCACAAAGAAAGAAGGAGCGCCTACTCTTCATGACAACATAGATGGATCTGGAGAGCATTATGCTAAATAAAATAAGCCAGGCAGTGAAGACAAATACCATATGATCTCACCTATAAGTGGAGTATAATAAAAAAACCCCAAAAAAACAAGGAAGCAAAATATAACTTGAGTCACTGAAATAAAGAACAAACTGACAGTAACCAGAGGTGGGGGGAGAGGGGTAATGGGGGAAAACAGGGGAAAGGGTCATTAAGAAACATGTATAAAGGACCCATGGACAAAGCCAAAGTGGGGGAAGGATTGAGGGCAGGAGGTGGAGGTTTGTGGGGCAGAAGAAAGTGGTGGTGGGAAAATGGAGACAACTGTACTTGAACAACAATAAAAATAGATATATACATAAATAAAATAAAATTTGCCCCTTTTGGCACACACACACAAAAGAATATATACACTATCATGGCAACAACAGAGCAGAAGACTTTTCAAGATTTCAAAGCTTTGTTCCACCGTGGTTTATGTTAAAACAGTGATATGAATCCAACAAAACTTAAAATTCTTGTGACCTGGTACTGATTACTGCTCTGTAAAGTCCTGCCAGAAATGACTAATCGTTCTAATGGCACAAAAATTAAAAGATCACATCTTGGAACACACAAGCTTTTAAATCAAATTAGTTTCACATTGTACTTCCTATATAAATTTCTTACAATTAAAACTTAAAAATGTGCTTTGTGGTGGTTGCACCGGTGTGTTGAGCAGGAGAGGTGGCTGCTGCAATGGATGTGTTCCTCATGATCCAGTGCCACAAGACCACCATCTCCACAAACATCAAGGAGTCTAGCACCATGTTTGAGCTGATGTACATTGTCAAGGGCATCATCAAGTGGCCACCTCAGAAGCGGCCCTGTGCAAGGATGACCAACTTCTGGATGAAAGCAAGACACTGGTGAGTATGGCTTCACAAGTCAACAGCTCTGCTGCAGGCCCCAGCCACTGTGGGGCTGGCCTTTCAGGCAGATGATGCATTTGAGGCCCTGCCCATCAAGCCCTTTTCCAGCCTGCCAGAGCTGCCTGTTGTTTTGAAGGCACAGGACTTCAGTGAGAAGGCCTGAGGCCTGCCCCGCTCACCCAGTGCCCCATTCCCCCATCCAGTGTTCTATTCATCCCCCCCAAAAGAGATTTGGGTGCCAAAAAGAATGTGCTTTGTCATTTTAACCATCTCAAATACTACTTAAAATACATTAGTACTTTAAGAAAACAAGATCTGCCCTGGCTGGCGTAGCTCAGTGGAGTGAGCTCAGGCTGAGAACCAAAGTGTCGCAGGTTCGATTCCCAGTCAGGGTACATGCCTGGGTTGCAGGCCATGACCCCCAGCAACTGCACATTGATGTTTCTCTATCTATCTATCTATCTATCTATCTATCATCTATCTATCTATCTCCCTCCCTTCCCTCTCTAAAAATAAATAAATAAAATCTTAAAAAAAAAACAAGATCTTTTCCATTTCTGTATCTACCCAAAAGCTCTTTCTCCCATTGTACTAATATTAATCTCTATTATAAAACTAAGTGAACCACAACTCAGATACATCTATAGTAACTTCCTCATTAGCTAAGAATTAGTAGTAATAATCTGTAATAATTACAGTACATTAATTGGTATGCAAATAGAGGACAAATTTTAATTCCTGTGGGTACATTAAAAACTTGATATTTTTAATAAGAACAAATTTCTAATTAAGCAAACTCAAGAAAGATCAATCAAGACCTGCTTTATTATTGTCCTAAGGTAAACTGACTGACCCACTATACTATGGAACAGCAAAGAAGGTATGTTTTAAACTATAATTCTTTTTACCATTTCTGGTTGGATCAACACTGAAGATCAAATCCTGGTTGACCAGAAACAAATAAAATGGCCGAGCATGAAAAGATGAGCTCTTGGGAATTAAAACTGGAAGAACTCAAGATTCAAGTATGTAGTTAGTAGATACTGAATCAAAAACAATGGAGAAAGGGAAGTCACAAAGTAGTATCATAGCCATGAGGTAAGTCTATGTTATGAGAAACCAGTAATTATTTGTAAACAAGGACAGAAAAAGAGACAAAGAATAGAGAGAATAACTAACTGGCAGTGAGGAGGAAACTGAGGAGATACATAGGCAATTCATGTTTATAAGCACTAGAGAGGAGAGTCAAAACTTTTGTGGTTAAGCTCTCTAGCCTTGCATCTACTCCCAGTTTGGCCTATCAGTGAAGTATAGTATTTGTTTTATGGATTTCCATGAGATAACTCTCTCCACTACTGCTCTGTGTTGCTCTTTACAATAATATCTTAATTGCTTGAGGTAACTGAAGTCTCTACTATACTGAACCAACACAGGCTTCATTAGCCTCTTTAGGCATGTTTGGAATTTGTAGTTGATCTTAACCAAATCACATTTCACTTACTAACTCCTAACACATAATCTTTGATATTTTCAAATTCCTTACCTATTATTAATTAGCTAATTAACAAAACAATGGCAACTCATACAAAAGAAGATTGAGAGCTTAATAGCCAAATACAAAGTGATGGTCTAATGTTCTAGTCTAATCTCTCACTTACTGCATAATTTTGCTTCATAACTAACCCCCTGCCAGAAATAAAAAATTAGCTTTATCTTGCATACTAAATCCCATCAACTGATAATTGGCATATTGGCTGCAGAAAAGTGAGAAACTGAAAAGGACCCCAAAGCCACATCAGGCCTCAGGAGGAAGATACAGAAATAGATTATTAACCACAGGATTAGGAAGAGTAACTGTTGGTAGATATATCATCTATCTGAGTTTTCTGATTACCCCCTACTTTAAAGACAATTAGATATCATTTATTTCTCTGCACTTTCCCAAAATGATTTTGGGAATCAGTAGCAGAGCTGAAAATCGAGCTTAAGAATTTCGTATTTAGCTGTCCAGTGTGGTTAGATTGGTTGGAGTGTCATCCCATAACTAAAGGGTTGCAGGTTTGATCCCTGGTCCAGTCCAGATGAGAACGGGAGGCAACCAATTGATGTTTCTCTCTCACATTGATGTTTTTCTTCCTTCCTGTCTCTCTGAAAGCAATGAAAGAAAATGTCCTAAGGCAAGGATTTTTTAAAAAAGTAATTTATTGTTTTACTTTTTTATTGTATTAGGGTGACATTGGTTAATAAAATTATATAGTTTTCAGGTGTACAATTCTACATTATCTGTACACTGTATTATGTGTTCACCACTCCAAGTTTCCTTCCATCACCATTTATTCCTCCTATATCCTCTTCCACCTCCTCCAACCCCTCTTTCCCTCTGGTAACACTATACTATATTGTCTGTGTCTCTGAATTTTTATTATTTTTTTACTTAATCCCTTCATGTTTCTTACCCATCCCCAAACCCTCTCCACTCTGACAGCTGAAAGTTTGTTCTCTGTCTAGGAATCTGTTTCTATTTTTTTAGTTTATTTTGATTTTGTTCATTAGATTCCACATATGAGTGAAATCATATGATACTCATCTTTCTCTAACTTATTTCACTTAGCATAATTCTACATCCATCTATGCTCTCACAAAGGGTAAGATTTCCTTGTTTTTATGGCTGAATAGTATTCCATTGTGCAAATGTACCACAGCTTTTTTATCTACTCATCTATCTACTCATGGACACTGGGCTGTTTCCAAATCTTGGCTACTGTAAATAATGCTGCAATGAATATAGAGGTGCATATATTCTTTTGAATCAGTGTTTTGAGTTCCTTCAGATATATTGCTGGAAGTGGAATCAGTGGGTCATGAAGCAGTTCCATTTTTAATTTTTTAAGGTTAACTCTGTACTGCTTTCCATAAGTGGCTGCATCAGTCTACATTCCCACCAACAATGCACAAAGGTTCCCTTTTTGCCACATCCTCACCAACACTTGTTCATTGATGTATATAGCCATTCTGACAAATGTGAGATTATATCCCATCCTGGTTTTAATTTGCATTTCTCTGGTGACCAGTGACATCAAGCATCTTTTCAAATGTCTACTGGCCATCTGTGTGTACTCTTTGGAGAAGTGTCTACCTAGGTCTTT